TTTCAATCCTAGTTTGGATTCAGAATTCAGTCAAAGATTTTAGTGAAAACTCAAATTTAAAATTTGAGTCACTCTATAGCTTAACATAATCGTTTTTGGGTTTATACGGCAGGTGATTAATCTCATCAATGCAAATTAATGAATTTCTTTATATTCATATATCTGAGTAAAATTTTCATGACGTCAACGTTTCGTTATGCGATTCCATTTGAATAGCGACCCACAATTTGAGAAACGCTATTACAGTGCTTATACGCATATATACGACTATGCTAGCGATCAAGCTAAGTTGTCTATATATATATTATAGAAAGTATATGCACCCTCCGAAGAATATAGTTTTATCCTATTGACAAAGCAACTAAGCTAGATAACTTAAGTTGTTACATTAATAACTTAAGTTGTTACACGTAATGCTGCACATTCTGGATTGGCAGGATTTATTTCTGCTTGCCAATACCCACTCTTTAAATTAATAAATGTTGAGAACCTTTTGCGTCCAGAAACAGTCCAGAATGTCGTCAATCCTAGGAAGAGGGTAGCTATCTGTTTTCGTAACCTCGTTCAACCGGCGATAGTCAACGCAAAATCTAATCGAACCATCTTCTTTCTAACGAGGATGATGGGAGATGCCCATGGACTTGTTGAAAGGTCGATTACATCGCTTTCTTGCATGTCCTTTAAGAGTATTCGTACCTCTTCCTGTTTAGCAATCGGTAGACGTCTTGGATGTTGCTTGATTGGTGGATGATCACTGGTATCGATTCTATGTTGCGTCAAACTGGTTCGACTCACGTCAGAAGACGAGCGGGAGAAAATATCTTGAAGATCTTGAATGATACCGTCGGCAGCATTCCTCTCTTCATCGTTTAATTACGCATTCTTCAATAACTCCGATGTAATGCTTTCTGAAGACACGGATTCTGGAGTGTTAATGTTTCGTTTAACGCTGGTCACTGGCGTAACCTATTTAATTAGGGAAAAATTAGTATGTGTACGCATAAATGAAGACTTCTCGAATTGATAGCTCTTCTGGAGCTTTAGGAAACTTTCTGTCCTGCTACTGTTACGACAACTGTCATTTATTAATTTTGTTTACAAATTTTTGCCCTGCATGCAAAAGGACTAAGTAGGTGCAAAATAAGACATGTTTATTCTGTTGTCTGTTTGCGGGAGTTCCAAAATATTTACTAAATGTTTTCAAATTTTACCGATAGTAATTTTTCGTTATCATAAACAATGCTACTTTTGTTATAGAATCCATTTTTCTGGCAGCCACGGGAAGAAAAGAAAAATCATTTCAATTATGTTGCGTGACGAATATTTCGTTTCGGTCTACTGAACAAAGATTGTACTTCTGAAATTTTGCTGTCCAAGTGAATTGTATTGCTCTTAATTCAAAAATATTAGTCATGCTGAGCCAAATATCAAAAGTGTTTGCTTTTGGAAGAAAAATATTAATTTTATATAGCTGTCGTTTTAGTTCTGTTCCTGTACCAATTCCTGAACCCAAGATTTATCATACCAAAGTTAATTTTGTTAATCAAATTAAAATGTTACGTCATAAAAATATGAACATTTAGATCTAATTTAATATATTAAATTTTCCATTTCTGTTTTTAGCTTTTCATTAATAATGAGTGGCATAAATCACGGTCTGGAAAGGTATTTCCTACAACTAATCCAGCAACAGGTGATGTCATTACTAATGTAGAAGAGGCAGATTTTGTAAGTATTTTATAAGTATGCATATCACAATAAAATAATGCAAGGATATAATAATGTAAGTGTGTGATAAATTAATAGCGATCTACAAATTGAATTTGCAAAATTTAGGGCAGTACATTCAAGAACATGGGCTAAATAATTGCTAGAAATGGGTATGAAGCAGGACTCCCACTCTCAAATACAATAAAAAAAATTAGATTTCAACTTAAATAAACCCGTAAAAAATAGTTTTCATTATCTAATATAGCAACGCATATAGGGTGAAACTTTTAACACACATAAATGTCTTTTATTTAATTGCAATCAGGAATTTCATCCTGTTTAGTTTCCTCCACATATATTTTTAAGCTGTTTCATTTTTTTTTTAAATGTTCATATTTTTTGTAACAAATTCCTTGTATGGCTGATTTTGCCAGTTCTAATTTAGGTTTCCTTATGTAGCAGTTTCAGTTAGATCTATTTGCTGCCTATTTTGTCTTTAGTTTTTTTATATGGTTCAAGTGAGATTGCAGCTTTTGTTTTTATATGGTTTACTTGGCAGGAATTTTTTTTTTTTTTTTTTTTTTTTTTTTTTTATGTTAGCCAAAGAATGAGGGAAATATATAGTTAGACTGATCATAAAGTTACATAAAATCTCATATTTAGAATTATTAAAGGCCATCTTTTACATTACATAACAGATACCAAAATTTGGAGATAGTTTTGTAAGCAAGATCTAAATCTTGATTCAAACAAAGAGATCTCCATTAACCATCTAGAAGATGTTATTTGTTTTCAGAAATGAGGTTAGGCACTGCATTGCTAAATGTTGAAGGCTGTGATTTGGCATTATCATGTATCACTACTGGATCAAGAACACTGAGACTAGCTGCAATTTTGTTGTCATTTAGAAGAAAATGCTTTTTGATTTGCAGACTAAGTTCAGGAAGAAATTTTAAAAGATGGTTTCTAAACTTGCTTTCACTGTCACCAAGTAATGTTGAATTAAAATTTTAAAAGATGATTTTAAAGTTTGCTTTCACTGTCGCCAAATAGTATTGAATTAAATAAAGTCATACTGCTGCCTCCAAAATATATTTTATTCAGAGGTTTCTGATTTATTGCATTGCTTGGATCAATTTGAACTAGCCTGCACAAGGTCTTTTATGGGGAAAGAAAAAAAAAAAAAAAAAGTAAGAATATTTGGTACAATTCGGTTTTGGGGACCGTAAAAAATTGCAGCGAAAATGCACACGCAAAAGCGCCAAATCTAGCAAACTCGTCCATTAAACAGCACGCCAAATACCGCGAAAGCCCTGATTTCAAATTGCGTAAGTTTTAGATAGTTCTATATTAGTAAGTCGCCATTGAAATACTAGTTTAATTTTTTAATTCTCTTTTTGATAAAACTATGGATTTTACAATTTGGGAATTGCCAAGTGAAGAAAAGTCTGCAATAGAATTTTTTCAAAAAAAAAAAAAAAAAAAAAAAAAAGGCATCATTCATGATAGAAAATTATGTTTGAACAATCATGAGATGAAATTATGCTTTATCGATAACTCGGTAGCAAAATGGCGTTGCAGGAAAGAAACCTGTAATGAGAAGAAAGGATTGAGAAGTCAAAATTGGTTTGAAGGATCGAAAATCCTCTTCCTTACAGACATTAGGTTCATCTATTTTTGGTGTCAGGAAATGACATCTGTTGAATTTTGTGAACTCCAGCTCAAGATGAACCACTGTACAGTTGTAGACTGGAACAGTTACATGCGTGAGGTGTGTGCCTCAGTTTTAATTGCTCGGCCCAAGTCTAAAATTGGCGGATGTGGCAAAATTATTGAAGTTGACAAAAGCCTTTTCAGTAAAAGAAAGAACAATGCTGGACGTGTTCTTCCAACACACATGGGTTTTCGGTGGATTATACAGAGAATCAAATGAATGTTTCTTAGTCGCTGTTCCAGATCGATCGGCAAAAACCTTATTGAACATCGTAAAGGATAATATCGCAGAAGGAAGCGTTATTTACACTGACTGCTGGAAATCATACAAGTCAGATGAACTGCAAGATGCCGGTTTTGAACACTTTACTGTCAGCCACAACTACAATTTTGTGGACCCGGAAAGTGGGTGTCATACACAAACAGTAGAATGGCTGTGAGGCAGTGCTAAATGGTGTAATAAACGCCATCGGGGCACTGCTTGACAGCATTTTGATTCTTACTTGTCCGAGTTTATGTACAGACGTTTGCACAATAAAACTGAAATTTTTTCTGCTATGTTGGAAGACAAAAAATTTTATGCCACCCCTTTAATTGCAAGTATATTTAGCCTTTTTTTCATAAAGTAATACAAAATTGTATTATATGAAATTGACGTCTCATCTAAATTAAAATAAAAATCTGAAATAGGTATTTACTATTATGTTTCCATTCAGTTATTTTAGCCTTTTTTATATAAATAATAATAATAAAAATTGTATGATGTGAATGATGTGAAATTAACCTTTTATCTAAATTAAAAAAAAATCTTAAACAGTTATTTACTCTTATGCTTCCATTCAGTCATGTTTAGCCTTTTTTTATATAAATTATAATAAGAAAAATGTACTATATGAAAGTAATTTTTCATCCAAATTAAAACATCAATCTTAAATAGTTATTTACTATTATACTTTCTTTCTTGCGTTAGGGTTGCCGCAATTATTTTTGGCAGCATTGACATCAACAACAGTTTGGCGATTTTTTACGGCCCTCAAAACCGAATAGTACCGAATATTTTTATTCTCACTTGAAACTGTTGAATGAAGTAAGAGCAGTCTGAAATCCATCATAGACTGAAATTCAATATTCAGACAAATTGTTTTTTCCAGTACATGTCCTAAAAACAGCAATATATGCTTACTTCCTTTACTATTATAGTAACTGAAAATATTCCGTATACCATCCACTCTGATAATTTTTAGTTTAGGCTAAAAATAGAGGAATTAACACATCCCACTGTTCCACACAATAATTTAATTATATTTTCATGGCCGTGGCCATGTGATAAAGTTGCTAAACACTGTTAGTTTGACCTAGGTTCAATTCCAGACAAACGGGTGCCTATATAGACATTTTCATGGTTTTCTCCATGTGTAATCTAGATACGAGTCAGTTTTTCTTAGAAAGCTCTTCACAAAGATATTTCTCCCCCTAGGCAGATAGCTCTAGTGGGCTGCCATACCTCGAAATAACCAACAAGTTTGTGCTAATTTGCAGATTTTATGTTTGGCAGTATCTATAACAATCTTAATTTTTTAATCTTTTAATATAGGAAAAATAATGGGAGTTATCTTTCATAAATATTTCTAGATATGGTGGTAGTACCTTGACTGAATGAATGGTACATAATGTAAATGAATGGCAAACACATCCCATGTTAAATGGTGATGGTGATGGTGCATCCTTTTTTTAGCAGTAACTAAACCCACTCTTAGTACCCATCATAGTGGTATAATTATCACTTTCAAAGCTAATGAGCTTTTTTCTATGCAAAGATCTTTCAGAGCTTTCTAAAGCTCTTCTGAAGTACCTTTTTTTTTTTTTTTTTTAAATACACTGCTGTCCTTTTAAACTGCTACACCTTAAAGGTGACATGCAACAAATGTCAGGTTTGCTTGAAAGGTACTGCTGGGATATGAAAATGATTAGCATACAATGACGTATACCTAAAGCAGGTACGAGTAATGCTATCTACATTGTGTAAAAATGGAAAGATTACTTAGTGGGTTTTTCATTTGAAAATTGTAGTTGAATGTTGGTTGTTTGTGTAAAGTCATGCTATGCCTCGTGTATAATGGAGAAATTCCTATTATTGTGTTGAAATCCGACCACAGCAGGATTGCGGTCTATCAGACTGTAGTTCATCATTCCATGATATTGCTACTCATGTTGATTAGGATCCCATGACTGTCGGGCAGATATCGAATTGATGGGTCGAGGACGGCCGTACTAAACACCATGTAGTATTACTGGCCAGTTCCAGGCCAGTAATACTTGAGAGGACATGCATATTGCTCTCTCAGCCTTGTAAGATTATACAACAGTGTCATGTTTCCTGAGTCAGGAATTTGGTTTCTCTGAAAAACAAGTGTCCACATGAATGGTATTATGTCATCTGCAGCACCGTGGTCTGTCATCACTTTAGATATTAGAGTGGCTTCCCTTAGCAGCAAAGATAAGTGGGTCTATGATGGTGCGATGAATAATGCAATGAACACGACATGCACCATGTCATTTTTTTTCTGACAAATTCCAGTACAGTGTACAGCATCATAATGGATGCATCTGTGTATGGAGGCAGTGAGAAGAATGAAAATTGCCAGCTATCATTTGCCGTATGTGGCCTGCATTTAATGTGCTAGTATGGGATGCCATTGGGTTCACATCCTGGTCACCTTGTCTTTGCATGGCCATTAATGTGGACTGCTGTTGTTACATTTCTGACTTATTAAGGCCTGTTGCTGTGCTCTATCTTTGCAGTCCCATGATCTGTGATTATGCTATCTTTCAACAAGATAATGTATGACTGCATATTACCTGTGCTTTTCTGACTATTCTTGATACAAAGAATGTTCAACTTTTGTTCAATGGTTGACTATCCTCTGTATCTCTCACACTCATAAACTGAGAATATCTGGTCATGAGTTTCCAAGAGAGTGGCACACCACCACTTGCTAATCACTACAATTGATGAAACCAATTGCCAATCACTACAATCAAAGCCAATCACTGAAATTGACATAAGCTGACTCTGACATATGGAATTAGGTAACCATATCTGCCACCCAAACTCAGTTTGACATGATATTTGATTCGATTACGGCTGTTGCTGTTAGAGGTGGCAGCTTTGTGTACTGAATTCTCCACACTGTATATTCCAAACTGCCTGCAAATTTAATCAAGTCTTCCTTCCATTATACTATATATGTACAATAAATAAGTTTCTCCTATTTACCTTCCTTTCTGGTCTAACAATTTCAGTGGCCAGCAATGCAATAATGTATATGGATATTGTGGTTTTTTCTTTTTGCAATGTAATTTCTTCTGTCTGTAGTTAAAACTTAATCTACCATCGTTATTTAAAGTATGCATATCCTTTACTTTATGAAATTTCACATTATTTTTCCAAAAGATTTAAATTGCCACTTTAAAAAAAAAAAAAAAAAAAAAGTAAATTTTTGCTTTTTGAGAAAAGTAAAAAGCAAAAATTATTCACCATGTCTTTTATGCTGTGACAGCAGAAAAGTTTAATTTTAATTGTGGGAAAAAATACAAGTAATGTCTTCAGTAATATAAACTAAATTTGCATTAAAATAAAGTAATGAAAATGGTATCAAAAGAAAGCAATATTTTTTTACTTAAGTACTATGCATTAATTTTCCAAAATAGTTAACATCTAATGCTAGTACTTGCTTTGCTTTGAGCTGTTTCACAAAGTAGTTTCAGCATCTGACTCTACTGACTTTGTTGCGTGAAGAAAATAGTTTTTGATTTGCCAGTGGCAGAAACTTAAATTGTAAATATTTAATAATCTGTCATCACCAAAGCCTTGAATTTATTTTTGCTGTAGATTTTTATACATAAATGTTTCAAATACGGAACCTCCTAGTTTACTGTTCATTTAATAAATTCTGGGATAAAGACGGCTTTCTTACCAATTCATTTTTGCTTTTTTAGGAAGATATTGACAAAGCAGTGAAAGCTGCACAATCTGCTTTCAAATTTGGATCACCTTGGAGGCGTTTGGATGCATCTGAACGAGGAAAATTATTGAACAAATTAGCTGATATTATAGAAAGGGACAGAGTATATTTGGCTGTGAGTTTCTTTTTAAGAATTTCATAATGTCTAACTGTAGTATATGTATGTATGTAGAGAAAATTAATATGCATTTAATAGAGGTAAAAGCATAGTTTAGGGTACCCCTTGGAGATTTTTGGCGGTACAGGGATACCGATTTTGTGCAATTCTTTGACTCGTTATTTTGGCTTGTGAAGCAGCGATTTTTGCGCCAAAAATCGCTGCTACACAAAGCCAAAATAACAAGACAAACAATTCTAAAGAATCAAATCTAATTTTTCCGTCTAAAGAATCAAACCAACACACACCACAAAAATGCTTACAAAACATCCCATGATTCAAAATTTCCCAGAATCATGCACCCGATTACGTCACAATAGGGTTTCCATAACATTCAGCTACTCAGGCTACAACAACTTGGCGATAAATCAAACGACAATTTCGCCATAATGCAAGAGGTACCTTAAAGTCTACTCTACCCTTAATAGATATTTTTATGTACATATCCGAATTAAGCAGACATGATTTATTTAAACTTATAGATAGGTACAAGACATGCCCATCTTCTAGAAATATAGACTATATAATAGCATCAAAAGTTAAGTTATTATTTTATTTTTATTGGTTTAAATATGCATTTTTTAAAAATATTGCAAAAGCATAATGTCAATTCAAAGCAGTGTCTTTGTAGTACATACTGATTTTCAGAGATAGTGGTATTTTTTTTAATAGATTCCACAAAACAACTGCTTCAAAATAATGAACATTCAAGACAGCAGTTTTTAACATTGAATGAAGCATTATAATTATGAAGAATTGGATATAACCAAAACACTGGCTGAGGTTCCAATTTCATGTCATATGAGGGTTTTTTCAACACATTTTTCTATCGATGACCAAATGTTATCTTGTTTTAATAGATATTCATACAAAATGTTTCTCAAAGGGAAACCCATCAGTTTGGTGTTTTGTGTTTCTATAAAGAATATTTATATCATTTTGATGCATATTCAGGAAAATTTTCAAAGACATTCATTGATCTTAGACTAGATGGAGATGTTGTAACAAATCTTTTAAGTGTAGTGGAAGTTTCTTTAAATCATTATGTATATTTCAACAACTTTTACCTCGCACATGTTGTTGTAGAATTAATTGGGTTGAAATTTCATGCGGCTGGAGCAATTCTTGAGTGCAGATTATGAAATTGCCTTATTATACCTGTAGCGAAAATGGAAAAAGAACATAGAACATATGAATTGTATTTAGCAAAGAGCATGACATCATTGGTACTGGATCAAACGACACTTCCATCATAGTTATGATGAGTAACTTTGACACAATTTATCCATCTTCAGTAACCAAGAGATACTCAAGAAAAGAAAAAAAAATCTGTAAAGTAACCTAAAATCATCAGAAATCACAACAAATATATGGATGGCGTGGACTTAGTTGACGATTTTATTATGATGTATATGGAGTGCAATTAAAAGGTAAGAAATGGTGGCAGCATATTTTTTACAAATTTTATTTATATCGCTAAATCAAATGTATGGAAACTTTATAAGACAGCTGTAGACCTTAAAATTTTTCTATTAGATTTTCAAAGAAGTGTTGCACTGGGATTGCTAAAAACAGGGGAAGAATATTCTGAAAATTTGCAGCCTTTATCTTGGATTGTGTTGGCCGACCTTATTTCTTTTAGAATTCAAGTGAAATGAGAAAGAATTCCACCAATCACATTATCAAAAAAAAAAAAAAAAAAAAAAAAAAAAAAAAAAAAAAAAAAAACTCAACAAACAAGATTTAAAGATCAAATATTGTGGTATTCCAGTAATAACTCTTTGTAATTTGTAATAAATGTTATGCGCCTTTGTAAAGCAAATGTTTCAAAGATTTATGAGAATCCCCAAAGTAATCGGTTTTGATTGAAATTGCGTTTTCACAACATTTTGTATCTGCAATAAAGTTAATATTATTTTTTTCTGTTACATTTCTTCCTTAATTAGACTCTTAATACGTCAAACAAATTATGCTTGTTCATTTCCTTTTAGTAAAAGGTAGTGTTGTTAATGGGTTAATACTGAGGATGTTCACATTAGAAATACATTACATACTGTTCAATAAATCTGTTAACATTAGAAAATAACAAAATATTTTTTGTAAATTATTGAAATTTTGCTATTTTCTGTTCGCTATGATTCCAAAAATCAAATGTAGTAAATGATAATATGAAATTTCAAAATGGAAAGTGCAGGGGGAAAATGGTTGAAATCAAAATGTAAGTCAGATGCATTTTGAAGGCCGGTCATAAGAATAATACATCTAATATGTCAACATTTTATTAACATTATATCGTGTAATGCATTTTGGATAGCAACTGCTGCATAAAACTATTTTACAACAAATTAAAAAAATTACAGTAATAAGATTTCTTAAAAATTTGATAAGAATAGCATTATTGATATTCATAATATGTTAATTTTTTTTAATTATTGTACTTACTCATGCACTACTCTTCCTTATGTATCTTTCACCCCCAATGTTTTCAGTGTATCATTTAGAAACTTCTGATTTATAGCAACAACATAAAAATATATACACTGATAGCAAAATATAATGCAAGTAGAAAGTATATTATTGAAAGGGGGATACTTATTTCTTTTCTCTACTGATATTTCCTTAGTGATAATTTTTTTGGGAACAAAATTTTTTTGACATTTTGGTAACCATGTCTGTTTCTTACCTGAAGTTTTTTTTTTTTTTTTTTTTTTTGTTTGTTTGTTTATAAAAGGAATTTCTCCTTGGTTACAATCATTTGCACTTTTTTTTCCTGATCTTTTAGAATGTTCATTTCACTCAACACTTTTTCATCATTTTAGTGATTACGTATTTAATTAATAATGACAAGCAAGAATTTACTGTAGATGAAGCCAAAAGATAAACAGATAAGGATTACTAAAATGTCACTGGTGATATTTTGTTGGCAAAATGAAAAAAAAAAAAAAAATACGTGTCAAATATGCTTCCAATTACACCACAAAGGCATGCTCCGGCTGGGAATGAGGGGTCCCAATTGCCAAATCTTGGTGGTGATGAATTATCATCCGCAACCTTTTATTTCAGGTGCAATTTGTAGAGCCATTAGATTTTTTTTTGAAGCAGAAGACATGAAAAATGTGCAGTCGGCACTCAAACCCTGGATCTCTAAAATACATATCAAGTATGCTTCCAATTACACCACGAAGGCTGAAAGGAGGGAGAAAATACTTTATAACGCAAACTTATGAAAATATCATTCATTAAATTAAAAATAAATGAACTTATTTTTTAAACTGTTTGCATATACAGGTAAATTGTTAATAGTGTTTTTTTGTTAATTGTAGTATGTGGTATTTTTTTTTCTGTGTTTTTTTATCCCCCCTCGGGTTAACTGTGCACATTATGTCGTGTGTCTAGTTAATCAGGTATTGATAATATTAACTTTTTTCTTAAAGTTTTATTATATAAATCCTCTTATAAATAACAGCTACTTTTAAAGAAAAATTATTTATACGTTTAAGACTGTTGTTTATCAAACATTTTATTCTTTTTATGACTTTATATATGGGGTTTTTATTTCATATTTTTCAGAGTTTAGAAGCACTTGATGGGGGGAAACCCTACTCTGATGCTTATAAAATTGATCTTGATATGGCAATTAAAGTTTATAGGTATTTGTAGTATTAAAGTTTCATAATGTCTTTCTTTCAGTTTTATCAATAAACTTGTATTCTTCTTTATATTTTTAAGTCTTCTTATTTGCTAGTCAATATTATTGTAATTTTGGCAGCAATTGATGTATTTAGGAACTCTCATTTATTTTTATTGATTGAAATATTGTCTATAATTTTAATACTTATAACTTTTTACACACTGTTAATCTTAAAATTTTTAATTGAAACTACATCATTTTAAATGTTATTAATAAAATTATAAATGTAATATTAACAATTAATAAAATTAATAAAATTGTTAATTCTATTAGAATTAAATTCATTCTCGATTGCTGTAAATAAAACTATATTTAAATATATTTCAGCCATTTTTAACAATCTTTTTTGAGCCATTTATAGCAGTTTGGTTTGAGTGATGCAAATGAAGCAATACAAAAACACGGAAATTTCATTGAATCTTATAAGTGCCATTTTGTTGTATGACTTTTTGTCATCTCTCCAATAGCAGCAAGGTCTCTTGAATATGGGAAAGAGCACAAAACATATTAGTCATTATCAATAAGTCTTTATCTGCCATTAATCTATCTATTTGCTAAACATTGTCATGTTGGAAAGACACACCTCGACGATTCAGAATTCTGAGCACTTTGCTTCAGTATTTGCTTTTGAAATTTATTTTGGGAGCAGTATTTTCCTGAATTTACTGCTGCTTTTGTGGCAACAATTGATAGTCATACAATTCCTTTGAAGTACCACTACCATACACAAACCATTACTTTTTTCTATCTAAAATGTAATGCTCGATGTTACTAAAGGAGATTCTTTTAGCTTACCCCATGATCTTTTCTTCTTGTCAAATTTTTGTATAATATCCAAGTCTCATCTCCATTTTTAAATAATATTCTATTTCACTAATAAGCCATTTTGAAAGAGGAACTTCTTTATTGCTTTTCAGCAAAGAATCACATGCCGAAAGTCAAGCAAGCATATTCTGTGTTAAAGATAGGGTGCTCACACCTCATAGCAACTTACATATCCATTCTTTTCAAATGATCATGTACTTTGCTTTCTGGAATATTTAGCCTGTCTGATAATTTCTGAACTCTATAAAATAGAATTTTCAGTGACAGTTTCTTTTAATAAATCCTTGTTTACAGAGGATTGCTGTCCACAACAGGCGTTATTTTTAAGCCTGAAATTTTCAGTCTAAAACTTACACCTTTATATTATGTCATTAGAAATATCACTTTTATCTGGATATAGCACAGATTTTATGAGTCTTGTGACTGGCATTGTTTCCTTTAAAAAATAAAAGGGCATAATATGAGGGAAACGAAGTTTTGGGTTCTTCATTTTAAGCACTGCCCTGAAACAAAAATAATGCCGCAACGTATGCTTAAGTTATATAACATGAGCAAGAAAGATTATATTTAAATATCTGTTTTGATAAAGGTCACTCCTTATCAGCCATTAAAAAGTAATTAGAGGAACATGTGCTTCAGTTTGAAAAACCATATTACTTTCTATATCTTGGTGATTGAGTAAAAAACTTTTAAACTTAATTTTTATGAGCATTCATTAATAACATTATAATATTATGTAAAAATTTTTAATGATCTTGCAATATTATATTAAATAATTAAAAAAGGTAATCTCCTTTTGATTTATTTCATAAATTAATTTTGATAATTATTTAGACAGTATGGCTCTGTTGGAAAGTGTGGTTCTGTTGGAAATTAAGGGTTGCTCCTTGAAAATGACTAAAGAATTTCCAACAATTTGCTATTTGTTATGTTATTTTATTGTTATCATTATTGATTTATATTCTTTTAGTTTTACTCAACTATTTTATTAATATTAACAATTCCTTTTCCTAGGAGATACTTTAAAACCACTTAATATATATATATATATATATATATATATTTCACAAGTAAAAGACACTTTTTTATGGTCTTTGTACTCTCAAACTTAAATTTCTCTGTCATTTACAAAAGTTGAATATTTCCAAGATACCTTTTGTAAGCTGAAATGGCATAAACAGAAACAGTGTAGCTATCATTAGCTTAACATGAAAAAAGTTTCGAACATTATCTCACCAAATGTTTCTTAAAAGATAAAATGACATGGAAAGGAAGAATGATGTTATAAATATATTACATTCCATACAAGCAGAAATGATATATATGGAGTGTAGTTAGACTTTCCATAGTGGAAAAGACAGCAAGCACACTGAAAGACTTATAAGTAATAAAAGTACCAATGGATGCACTAAACCGAATCATTGAGAATTTGGTAGTGGGAGATATATGGGCTAAAATATGTAAAATAGAAAACATAACTTGTGCATAACTAAACATAACATATATATTGCTATGTTACCCATCAGGTCACTGTATCTAGTTTCTTTGCTTGTGTGACAGTGGACCTTTTATCATGTATTTCCTTTTATATGGAATGGTTAAAGTTAGATAGTATTTTTAAGTGACTGTCATATTTTTTCATTATACAGTTCTTCACAAAGTGATTAAAAAACAAAACAAAACTGCAGAAGACTTTAACCTGCATTGTTAATATATATATTCTTTATTCTTTGTGTCTCCACTCCCCCTTTTTTAAGCAAAAATTCTCTTTAAATGTCCTTCATTAACTTTAATAGATACTAATTCAGGTTTTTTATGAAAGAAAAATTGTATTTAAGTGAAGTTTACAGAACAGGGGATACTTATGTCATTATTTTAATATAATTTATTAAATAAATACAAGCATAATAATATATGATAAATGTTAATATATCTTACAAATATGTATTTATACTGAGAATTTGTAGAAATTATTTTTGTATTTGAAAATTTTATTTTTATGTCTTGTCTGCAGCTTCTATGGCATGCATGGCCATTTTTAAAAATTTTTATATCGCTATTATAAAGCACGTAATTCTTAACAAAATGTTGTGGCAGTCCATTATTCTAGTTGCATTTTAAGTTATTCACAGGGAATGAAACTTCTTAATCTTACTCAGAAATTTAAATCACTGTATATGATTTTAATCTTAACATAAACACTTGTCTTGTTCACAATATGCACAAAGTTAGTGTTGAATTTAATAATGATTTCATATTCATACATTTTCAGCATATTGTTATTGTTCCTGCAGAAGGAAATATTTCCCCTTTTCCTACAGCATGCAAAATACAGATTAGGTTTGACTAGATTATACATTTTTAACTACATGAGATTTATTTCACAAATGTTTGTTCTCACAACACTTTCTGGCCATATATGATGTTTTGCAGCATGTTAGGTAATTATTTTGTGTTAAAATGGAACTTTATTTTATAATGTGGTAATTTTCTGACATACAGTTTGCTGCAATAGCAATAGTTATAATAAAATTATGGATTTATATTTTAAACATATTTTGTCATTAACCTCCTTTTTTTATTCTAGATATTTTGCTGGATTTTGTGATAAGATATATGGGCAGACACTGGTCATTGATGGAGACTATTTTGCATACACGAGACATGAACCTGTTGGTGTTTGTGGACAGATTATACCAGTAAATATGTTATAATTTTAATCGTGCATTACCGTACTACTGCTTTTCATATTTATACCATGATGTTTACATTTTGGCAGTGGAATGTTCCACTTGTGATGCAGGCTTGGAAACTAGCACCTGCATTAGCTGCTGGTAATACAGTGATCCTGAAGCCAGCTGAACAAACACCACTGTCAGCCCTATATGTTGCTGAACTCATCAAAGAAGCTGGTTTTCCTCCAGGCGTAGTAAATGTCATACCTGGCTTTGGTCCGTCTGCCGGATATGCTCTTGCTACTCACCATGGAGTTGATAAAATTGGGTTCACTGGCTCCACTCATGTAAGAATTCAGATTTAAACTGGATCTTTTAAGATTAAATAATATGAAAGTGCTGACTTTTTTTAATATTCATAATGTTACTTTGCCATTGTAAGAGATTTTTATGTTTCATTGCATTGATATATGAGTTGATGATGGTAATAATTTTAGCCAAATTTGTTTTCCTCTTCAAATTAAATTTCTCTGGAGGATGGTTTTTCACTCCTTATAACAAAAGCAAAAAAGTATTCCTTATTAAGATGCCCCAAAACTATGAGTCATAAGCTGCACCTCTGTTAAGTAGTATGATCTGTCACTAGTTTTATTCTAATTTTCAAGAGCATAAAGGAACTAAACTTTAATGAATGTCAATCATAGAAGTATAAGCTTAGTTATTACAATACTCTGTAATTGTATCTCTTTTGAAAAATGTTTTTTAATAGAAAAGAATTAATATAAATGTGGGTGGGGAGTTGGAGATGATATCCTTAAGTAAATAACACTTCCACACCACAACACATTTAATAAATAATAATAGAAAAGCTACAGATTTGAGTTAAATAACAGTACTGTTGTGCGTTCTTATACTTGTTAGATGCAAATACAGTTCTGCATGACTTTAAGTATTTAAATAGCTACACAGCACCTACTCGCGCTTGCTATTTTAACAGAGTTCTTTTGTTACCACCTTCACGTGGAATCACATCTATCTATCTTTTGCTCTCACTGTCTCACTGTCAAACATGATGCCTTCTGGTGCCTGTGTTGAAGTAATGGATACCACAGCTCGGCGATCCTGACTCTGTTTTCGCCCTCGAAAACATGGGTCAGTGACACTAGTACATCAAGACAGCACCTGAAAATAAAGTTAAAAAAAAACAAAAGGTAAGGGGGAAAAAAAAGTTATAAGTGCGAAAGAACTGCACACAGTCCTAAACAAGAACAGTCCAAGACTTCATGTGATCAGCTGCTGTAGTGGTACTGCCAGGACCTTCATGGTGTCGTACTTTTTCCACCTGGTACCGGTCTTTGCCTTTCCTCGCTGTTATTCGGTACAGGTCAAAGAACTTTGGCCTTAACTTTAGACCACCTCCATACTGCGTTTGTTTTATGCCAACTAGGTCGTTCACATTGTATACCTGTGCCTCTTTTCTCTTCTTGTTATATGTTTTTCAATTCTCTTCCTGGATTTTTAGGATGTTTTTCCTTGCTTCCTCTCTCATATCTTCTCGATCTTTCATCATAATATTTGCTTCTTCTTCTTCGAGAATTTCCATAATCTTCCATAGTCTTCTCGATTTCTCATTTTAACACCAGTGAGGAGCTCAAATGGAGAGCTCTTTGTGCTTCTGTTCTTAGTGCTGTTCAAGATCCATTGTATATCTCCAACGTATTTGTACCACTACATATTTGGTAGGATCATCTATGGATAATTTGGATAAAACTGGAATCAGAGTCAGATGAACTCTTTCCACCTGCCCATTTCCTCTAGAAACGCCTGTAGTTGTAAATATGTGCTGGATCTTCTCTTGACTACAGTAATCTTCCAAGCTTTAGAGGTAAAAGCTGTGCCTTTATTGCTTATTATTTTCAAAGGATTACCGAAAGTTGATTGCTGCAGTTTCAGCTTCTGCAATGCCTCTTAAGCTGATGTAGACTTTACTGGATAGAGCCAAACAAACTTTGTAAATGCATCAACCACAGTCAAGATATGATTGTAGTTCTTATTTATCGAAGGTAATGGTCCTATAAAATTGATATGAAAAGTGCTCAAAGGGATACTATCTTTTGATATGGGATTCAGAACTCTTCACCCTTACCTCGCTTTCTGTCGCACAAAATACACTCTACACAATTTGAGTAACTTGTTCAATTCGTTTTCTAAGATTAAAAATGTAAAAGTCTATTTTCAGCAGATCTTCCATTTTAGACACTGCGAAGTGTCCCTTGTTGTGGATACTATGTACGATTTCTAGCTCCAATGCTTCGGGTACCACAAGTAACTCGCGACCATTGTCGAACTTGTATCATACTAGTATATAACTTGTATAATACTAGTATATACTTGTATAATACGAATGTATAATTGTTCACTAGAAAAGCTTTCTTTAGTTCTTGCTTGACTAAGGATTTTAGCAACTGGAGATGCTCATCACTTCTTTGTGCAGCAATTTTAGCTGTAACTTCTCCCTGAGAATAGGTAACCATCATGACAGTGTTTCTGCTTAACAAATCCACATGTTTCATTTGCTGCCCAGATCTGTGAACAATTTCTCAGATCAAATTCTTCTAGAAGTAACACCCATCTCACCGCTTTAGGAGTTAAATCTTTCTTGAACATAGTCTTCTGTGATTATTTTCAAGTCTTGTTTTCTGATATTATTTAATACACTCATGATGATTTATAGTAAATTCGTATAAAATACTACTTTACCTTGCTTGTTTTTTGGTCGGATCCCGGTCGAGCCCCCCAGATTTTCTGTGAGTGGAGAGTTGAAGATGATGTCCTTAAGTAAATAACACTTTCACACCACAGATATTTAATGAATAATAATTGATAATCTTTTGCTCTCACTGTTGGCATGTACGTGATGCCCTCTGGTGGTGTGTTGAACTAACGGATACCACATAAATATATATATATAGAGAGAGAGAGAGCTTAGTTTTTCTCCCCTGTTGGTTAAAAAATACAGTCAAAAGTCGTTAATCCGGACTCGTCGGGACTTCGGTGATTCCGGATTATCGATTTTTCCGGATTATAGATAATCAGTTTAAATCTCATAAGATGGCATGCAGAAATTCTAAAATTAAAAATATGAAACCGTAATTTATGAAATAAAGAATAGTTATGATCTAAAGGGTATCAAAATGTACCAAAAAAAAAAAAAAAAAGCTGTTTACTTTATTAAACATTTCTTTCAATGTAAGTTGTTTAAGTTGCTTTGTTTTACGTGATAATACTTTCTCTTTAATTCTATAAGCAGACATAATTTCTTGTTCAGTTACAAAGTTACACTGTTCAAGTCCCGTAATTGCTGTGCCAAGAATACCGACTAACTTGTCAATCGAAATTTTTTCGTTTTCACTAACCACTCTGTCACCTTCTTAATGTCTTTATCCATTTTTTGCAGCAATTCCACTTTTTGTTTGATGGACATTGAAACATACTTTCGTTTTGTAGATCCTTTGGGAGCTCCAGCATCGGAAATTCTATTTGACATAATCGAAAGTTCAAGTTTACTTTTATAAAATTGCTCTTACAGTCTGCAAAAAATAATAAGCGGATCCAATTTGAAGATTAAGGAACAATGCAATCATCAACATTAACTGAAATAGATAATTAGATAATTTTACCCTCCGTTATACATAAAATGTGCACGCAAAAATGTATTCTGCGCTTGCGCACATGCATATGCGCAGTCGTAAAGGTCTTACGCGCACGCGTAAATGCCTATGCGCATGTGCAGAAAGTTTTTAGCTTTGAGGTCCGGATTATAGATCATTCCGGATTATGGTGTCCGAATTAAGGACTTTTGACTGTATATTTATACATAAAAAAGCCTTGTATTGTTGAAAGATACATAAATGATGTAATTGAATCTATACATAAAAATGTTTATCTTTACATTAATGTTTAGAAATACAGAAGTAACTTATAGAGTGCTAAATGATTGTTTTATTCAGTTTCTATCAATAATTCTACATCTTTTTAGCATTTGACAAAAAAAGGAATAAATTGTTATATTTTTACAGTTTAAATTTGATTGAAGTACTGAAATTCATGTATCTGTTTCATTGGATGATTCTTAAAATGTGCATTCAAATAGCTATTAATTGTTTAGGTTAAAATAATACGCTGAATAATGATTATTCAAGAATCAGCATAATATTTGTAAATCTCTCAGGACTAGTTTCAATGGTTTAGCTACAGAACCTTCCTTAGCTGCCTAAGTGCAAAATGAACGAAATAAGATATAGTGATAAGATAAGAATAGCTGGACAGAAGTTAAACTCCTGGCACCATCTATTGATGAAACAAGAACTAAAATACAAATTAAACATAATTTCCTTAAAGGCTGAAGGTAAAGATAGATTTTAATTAGGGTCACTAACTAGAACAAAAAGATTTTTTCAATGTGAAATGCCTCTAGAAATTCACGAGTGGAAGATGTTTTTGGAGTAATTTTGGCTGCAAAAAAATGGAAAGTGTGATTTTTGGACCAACAGTGCTGGGTAACAGAGAATTTCTTTGTTTCCTTTTTCCTAACATATGCTTCATGTTCTTTAATGTGAAATTTTAAGGCTGCCTTAGTTTGACCAATGCAAATTAAACCACATTGGCAAGTAATCCAGTAAATACCCCAGGATTTCACATCCAAAATGGGGTTCTTAAGTATAGAATTGGGAATTTTATTGATAGGAGAAAAAACAACCTGAAAGTTAAATTTCTGTAAAACTGTAATTTATGTAAATTTAAAAAAAACAACCCGAAAGTTAAATTTCTGTAAAATACATGCAGTTTTATAGCTAATCAATAGAAACAAAGGAATGACAACACAATTCATATAATCTCTTAAAACGAGAGTGTGTCTTTTGATGTGTTCAAACACATCAACAAAAAAATTACAGTTATTAATAATCAAACTCAATTAGAATATTTTGGAGTTTTAATAAGATACAAATAAATGAGAAAAAACTCCATGCAACTGTACTTTTAAAATTATATAAATTTCTGCTTTTATGTGTTTGTATTTTTTATATTTATATTTAACATTTATTTGTATTTTTCTACGAAATTACAAATAAATATTGTAAATGTGTGCAGTTATTTTTCTTTTTAATTAAACTTTAATATTTTAGTCATCTTCATAATATTAATTTATACCGCAATTATTTTCCCAAACATGATTTATAATTAGAACTTTTTTTTATATTGGCATCATAATGTGAAAAGAAGAATTATTTAAAACTGACAGAAAATATCAAGAAACATTTTATAAAGAAAAAACAACATGGTGCAAACATGTGTTTCTTTTAAACTTATGGTTGAGGAAAAACTGCTATCATTTGAAACATACATATCCAGTTAAGATTACAAAATTTTATTTTGTTTATTTTGAGCTTTAAGAAAAAAAAAAATTATAACTTGATAAATTTCGATAAAGGTTTTATATTTCAAATTAACTTGTACGTATTTTTTCTCTTACATAATCTTTTCTCGTATCATATTACAGATTTTTGCATTTTTTTAGAAAAATAAAGCTGTCCATAGCACAAATGTTTTATACAGAAAATGTTCATGAAAGGTGGCCAGAGGTTGTAATTTCTCAAATATTGAGTATGTGTTTCTAATTATAACTTTCTTAAGGTAAAGATGAAAATTTTATGAAATCAGTTTCATAATGTCCTGTAAAATTCTAGATTTTTATGTGATCTCTATAGAGCAAAATTTTCAGTTAGGAAAATATTTATTATATATACTTTATTTTAATATTGCTAACAGAGTGGAAAAGGAATGAATGAAATATTATTAATAATTATATTTCATGAAATATATAAATATATTTCCATTATATTTCTTGAGAAGAAAAAATATCCAAGACTTACCACTGAGGATAAAAGACCTGGGTCTAGGATTACAGATTTTAAGGGATTCTGAAATCATTTTCTAGTTTTTATTAGTTTCTATTTCCATCATACAAATAAGAAAAGAAGCTGTTAGATGGTCTTTAAAAGAACCTTGTGTTTAGTACCATATGATCTTAATCAGGCCACCATCCAGACAGGAAAGTAGCTAGCAACTTTAACTGACATACTGAAGGGCTTGGGTTCAAATCCTGGAGACAGCATCTGTCCCTTCAATGGAGGCTCACCTATTAGGTGCCTTCATAATAGAGACTGCCGCTTCCGGCCTTAGTAGCGTCCAACATCTATACACGGCTAGAGCTTGCCATTGGAGGGGGGGGGGAATCTTAATCATGCCATGCTTTTGTGTGCAAAATTTTTGATTTAAATCTTTTATTTTCATTTCTATTATCAATGCAGTAATATAATTTTGAGAGCAGATTAAGGGAAAAGCTACTGAGAAAAGCTCTGTTTTTAGCAAGTAATAGTTCCATGAAGTCACGTGTGTTGTTAAATTTGTAGATGGCTCTTTGAAAGTACTTCTTAGTTAAAATTTTGAAATTTTTCAATTGGAAAGTAATTTTAAGCATCAGAATCTTTGCTTTATTCCAGAGATATAAAAATATTTTTTTCTCTACCTTATTTTAGGAAATTTTATGATGAAAGTACATCTTCCATCATAAAATTTAATCACTATTTAGAAAAATAAAGTCTGCAGCCATTTTTGTGAACATTATACATATATGAGTAAATTTTCTTTTTTCCATTCCTAGACTGGCCAGCTTATAATGGAAGCAGCAGCTAAATCCAATCTGAAACATGTTACTCTAGAACTTGGTGGTAAAAGTCCTAGTATAGTATTCAAAGATGCAGACTGTTAGTAAAATTAAAATTTTTTACCCTTCATGTATTTCCTGTCTTTTTGACAATAAAGTATATTGCCAAATTTTATATAAATTTCTTTTTCAGTATTTTATTTATTTATTTTTTAATTGTTTTTTCATAGTGGACAATGCTCTTCAATTCACTCACCTTGGTGTGTTTTTCAACCAAGGTCAGGTTTGTTGTGCTGGTTCTAGGATCTTTGTTGAAGAAACCATTTATGATGAATTTATAGAAAAGAGTGTTGAGATGGCTAAAAAGAGAATTGTTGGAAATCCTTTTGATCCCCAAACACAGCAAGGACCACAAGTATGTTCTAATTATATAAAAATCTCTTTTTTAATATGGTTTAAATACTCTGGCTGATTAATTGACAAACCTTTTCTAAGTAATTTTTTAACCTTTTCCACTCTGTTAGCAATATTATGGGAATTGCTATAGTTATATGCGAAATTAAGTGGATCCATCTTCAGAATGGATAGAATCTTCTTATATTAAGCAGTTTCAACCATACTGTATGTGATTGGCCATATTTATAAAAAATATAGTGTTACTGGAAACAAGTATTTTTAGAATTTAAGCATTTTAAATTCCAAATAGAAAATTGTATAATATAAATATGTTGGATTTGAAAATGTCCTTTGAAATACACTAATTAATGAAGTCTTGAAGTGCAAAGCGTTAATTTGTTTCCTGAAAATGTGATTTTAAATTTGCTGTGGAATACCATCGTTTGCTATTATTGTTTTCTTCTGTTAATCATATGCTATTGTAATTTCATATTATGCCATAAATTTTGCAATGTACGGAAGCAAATCATGTTAGTACTTTTCTATCTGATCTAAACAATAAATGAAAACACAATGTTGCCTTGTCTGTGTTTACATGTCAACTTACTAGGCCTTCCCAGCCAGTATAATGGTTGGTGATGCTGACTGCCATAATATTGATGGGCCTGGTTTTGAATCTTGGAGAAAGCATGGATGATAGTAAGTATCTTATATCTGTGATATGTATACATCATATATCACAGATTTATGATGTGTATACATCATATATCTGTGAGCAATGGTGAAATTCCCCGCAAAGCTTGTAGGATCGCTCTGGTGCTACTTCCTTTTCTCTCAACTAATAGCTAAGTTTCCTTCCAAATCAGTGCTGCCAGAAAATCTTCTACTCTCCTGACTCACATGTCACCAAAAGCACTCACTACAAGTTCTTTTGATGTTTCATCACTCTAGCCTTTAACTGCTGTGCCTGGCACTTGCTCTTCAATTCCCAATGCCTCGACCACTGTAATTTTTCTCCTCTATCATATACATCTACATATTCCTGGATTATTCTGTACTCCATTATTTGCTATATATGGACTTAAAATTGTACATCCAATGTTGCTTATTGTTTTACTTCCTAAGGACATGAACTACAATCTATGTTGCTAATTGTTTCAATAATATTATGATAACTGATAAGAACTTACTGCAATATACTGGGATAGGGCTTTGGTCTATGAATTCAAACCTTGTGGCCACATACCAGTTGTGAAATTTTGTTGTCCTGCCCACTTCTACCTGTCATCTTACTCAGCTGCCCACATGCTACGCTAGGGTTCGAATCTCGGAGGAGACATGCTGTTTGTTAGCATATAGCGTCTGTGTGGCAAGGGGACTTTCAAAATACATGGTGAGCTTAAATTCTTTTGAGCAGAGGGAAGAGGGGTCCATGGGTGATCCTCGGATTGCCCCTTTCTGGGGCGTTGTTCCTCGGAATTCTGAATTTAAGCAGAAGCTTAGCAATTAGTAAGGCCTGGCACTATCTAATATGCCTACATAGGTGCACAGGTGCTGGCCTTGCTTCAAACTGTACCTTTCATTTTACTATATTTAAATTGATGATTTAAACTCCGAAAATCTGAAATTGCCAATGTACCAGCAATTCTGGATCTTAGATGTGTTACTTTTGTGCAACAACATTCTAGCACATAAGGCTCAAATTTCCTACATTGCTATTCAGCAGTAAAGATATCAATTTCTTCCTCATCCATTGCAAGATTGGCCTCCAAGTGGCTTCGTTTTCATTTAAGAAATTAAAGCAGTATTTGCATGGTTTACATTACTGTGATGATGATGATTTGAAGAATGCCATTCAGAAAATTTCAAGGCTGTGACAAACATTTTTTATGTTATTATCAGATACCTAATGGATTAAGTCTTAAGTGCATTAAAAAAAAAGTTAAAAGAAAGTATATAGAAAACTGATAAAATAATTTAAGATATGCATCTCGTACAAATGTGTTAGGCTTAAAACTTACTTATTACTATACTCAGTATCAATATTTATTTCTTTACTAGATCAGTTAGAAATTTCATTGCATGGCTGTTGAGAATTTTGGGATACTGCAATTAGTATTAATTGCATAATAGTAAAGTATGCCAAAGATATATAATGAGAGCTTAATATATGACATTATAAGATACATAAATAATATATTTTTATATATTATGTAATGAACTTCTTGTAGTTTTAATATATTACAGCACACAGCAGTCAGTTTAGAATATGTTTCGGTTAGTTTTATTGCATATTTTATGTTTTAAAGTAGTAAATCTTTTCCTTAATATTTACTTTGCTTTAAAGAAAAATATTGTATATTCATTACTGATTTCCTAGGTAGATGCTGGGCAAATGAATAAGGTACTTAATCTGATCAAAAATGGTGAAAAAGAAGGTGCAAATATGCTATGTGGTGGTAATCGTATTGGGGACAAGGGCTACTTTATCAGTCCAACAGTTTTTGCTAATGTTCAAGACAATATGAAAATTGCAAAAGAAGAAGTATTTTAATTTTATTTCATATTTTCTGAGTATGAATCATAATAAAATATAAAACTAAAAATAACAAAAATGTTATTTTAATTCTGTCCCTAATTTAGATATTTGGCCCTGTAATGCAAATTCTGAAATTCAAAACAGTTGAAGAATTATTGGAAAGAGCAAATAACACGATGTATGGTTTAGCTGCTGGAGTATTTACTAAGGATATAGATAAAGCAATGTATTTTTCAAGTGGTCTTCAAGCTGGTACTGTTTGGTAATTCTTTCTCATCTGTAATTGTGAAGTTCTAACTTTTACTTGATTTTATCTTCCTGAATACCAACTAATCATCTACTAATTTTTACTACCTTATTCACTAACTAGAATAATGCATACCAAAATATTTTTCTATGATATTTGTAGAGTTCCAGCAGTTAAAATGTAATTTTAAGCATTTGCTGCAACTTCCATGGCTGAAACTCAAAAAATGGCTATCGTTATTTAGAGCATATTTACCAAAATTGTTCAATAATTTCCAAGAGAATGGCTGCATTTATTAAATATTCTAACTCAGGATTCTCTACCCATAAATAAACTTATTCTTTAAAGCCACAGTGATCCTATTTGGTTAGGTAAACTATGCAGTAGCTTGTAGTTGGAACCAGAGGAACAAACACATTACAGAAAAGTTTAAAATAAAGCAAGTTGTTTACTCGCTAATAATTATCTTGTATTCTGTTTCAATACTTACTGTGTTTTCTTAAGTGTACATTAAATCTGCATCTTCTGGATAGGGTTGAACTGAAATGGAGAAGTAAAAGAAAATGGAATCTCAAACTAAAAAATTCTGTAATATGCATTATTTTAGTCTGTGACCATTTTTACAAGGTGCAAATATTAATTTTCAGGACTGGTGTAACTGTAGATCCTTAGAATGCAGTAATATTTGTATTTAGAAGGTCTTTTATCTGTGCATGTCCAATGAAGGCAGTGCCATTTGGAAGCAAATGGTTGTTCTTGAAACAGACATTGAAAGGTAGCTGTTGAATTTTCGTTGTTAAAGTCGATGTGGAGCAGAGAATTAACATTAAATTCTGCTAGAAATTGGGCAAAACTGCTACAGAAAGCCATGAAATGTTGAAACATGTGTACTGAGAAAAAGCATTATCCCTTTCATGCACTTTTAAATGGTTTAGCTGTTTTGGGGATGGCCATGAAAGTTTTAAAGATGGCACACACACTGGACTGCTGCATTCTCCAAGAGATGGTTTGGCAAATTGTGATGCAAGACCTAGGAAAACGTAAGGTTTGTTCCAGATTTGTTCCTCACTGTTTATCGTAGGAATAAAAGCAATTCAAAATGGAGTTATGTGCTGAACTCATCAACAATGCTGAAACTGGCCTTGCATTCCTCGATTTGATAGTAACAGGGGATGATCCTTGGTGTTACCAATATGATTCACAACAGAACTACGATTGGGGGTATTGAAGCTCACCAAGACCAAAAAAGTTTCAGTTTTGAAAGTCCAAAATCAAGGTAATGTTAATCACTTTCTTCAATAGAAAAGAATTAATTCGTCTTGAATTTGTTCCCCCTAACAAGACTGTCACTGGAAGTTTTACTCAGAAGTTCTTGTCAGACTTTGAAAAAGAGTTTGCAGAGTAAGGACTCGTTTTCAACAGAATGGGAGTTGGTTGTTTTTGCATGATAATGCCCAGCCTCACGTTGTGTTACCTGGGAAGCGGTTTTTGACCCAGTATCCTCCATACTCTCCACACTGAGCACCAGCAGACTTTTTCTTGTTTCCAAAACTGAAAAATTTGCTGAAGGGAACAAAATTTGTGGATTGTTGGAAGTCATCAAGAAATGGTGACATTAAAAGTTTTCTCCAAAACTTATTACAACCAAGCACAGAAGTGCATTACATCATGTGGATACTTTGAAACATATTAAATGGGGTGAAATGCTTTGAAGCATATTAAATGGGTATATATTCCATATAATATTTTCTGAAGTTATTAGACCAGTCCTAGAAATTAATGGCCATTGCTTGTATATACTATTTTTATTACAAATTTATTTTTTTATTTTTGATATTTTATTTATTTACTTGTCATATAGGATAAATTGCTATAACATTTTTTCTGAACAAGCTCCATTTGGTGGATTTAAAATGTCTGGCATTGGAAGAGAAATGGGAGAATATGGCCTTCAAGCATACAGTGAAATTAAAACAGTTAGTCTTTTTTGGATATTTCTTTTGTTTTAACTGCTTTTCAAATAATCTTTAAAAACTTTTAGTATTGCTATATATTTAATGTTTAAAAAATATAAAACAATGAATGGTTCAGACCTGGATACATCAGCTTAATAGTCAGTCTTCACCAACTGCTATATTAATTGGTGTAGCCAGTTCTTCTAAGTAAAAAATCTTTTTGTTATGGTTAACTGGTTGGGTGATTTTTAACAAACTTCCAAAGCTTTGATATTTTATTCTATGTTTTATAATGCAGGATGTGAAGCTGTTAAAAGGTTTTGCTCTGGTAATAATATATTATGTTGACTGAAAATAGCTGTTAAAAAGCTAAATAATAAAAAAAGCTGTTGAAATAATAATAATAAAAGTGATGTTAAATTAGTTGCTGTTATTGTTCTTGTAATAATAACAGAGGTGTTGAAAATGTAAATAATAAAATTTTGGGATTCAAACATTATATACAGAAATTTGTGGAAAAATCATGTATATGCAAGTTTCTGTGATTGATTGTGGCTTAATATCTTGAAACGTGCTAGTGAACAATCTCTTTAGTCTAGGAATTACATGCATGCTTAAGGTGCATGTATATATATATGACAGAAAGCATTATTTAAAAAAAATATTTTGCTCTTAACTTAAACTGCCAAAAATGTATAAAAATTCTGTCTCTCTGCTTTTGTTATTTAACAAAAATTAGCAATTTTTAATATATTTTTTTAAAATTATGTGTTTTATTTATACCATTGAGCTTGCAATTTCTTTAAATCATCCAATAAAAAAGTTGGAGCTTAAATTTGAAGTTAAAAATTTTCTACCTTTGAAGATTTTTCATTTTCATAGCTTTTGTTCTCAGTCATACAAAGAATCATAATGAACAAAATACTGAAAATTTTATTTATTTATAATGATAATATTTTCAGATATTAATATTTCATAATGCAGCAAGGACAAAAATCAATTTATGAAAAAACTGCATTTAAAATATGGAGCTCTGGTACTAAAAGACCCTTAAAATTCACAAGGCATATAAGAATTCTATTTGTTTTCTTGAATTTTTGGAATACTTTTCATACTGTCTTTTTTTTTTTTTTCTCACTTTCTTAAGTTTTTTTTAAAAATTAATGTAGACAAATGTTAAGATAAATATCATTTGCATTTTAAAAACAATAATTTCCTTTTATTGAAAAGAAAATGAATAATATATTAAACAACTGTTAAAATTAATCAATTAAATAACTAAAAATAATTTATTATGTCTATAAAATTAAAATAAATAATAATGAAATTAGATGATGGTGCTAGTTTTGAAACTCAACTTTTATACATATCAAAATCGTAATAACAACCTTGTATTTAGCGTACATATATTAAAACAATCGATTTTGAGGGCAGCTAAAGGTCCCTCCTCATCAAGAGAACAAAATACTAGAAGGGGGGGAAAAGAAGAAAAATAAAGCATCAGCAAAGGAGTCACATAAACACATGGTCCTTATCAGCACTGCACGTGGTCGTAACCGGATTTTGAATCAGAGTTGCACTGGCTGCCTTCTTTTACTGAGCCAGGCTATCTGATCAAACAATTAACACATAAACTAAAACGCAAAGAAAATCAGCAAAGTAAAAAAATAGGGAACAAGGTGCAACTGCACCTTCACGTACCAAGTCTGAACCTCGAATAAAGGGAAAGCAACCTCTGTAATGGCTTTTTATACCCTCCCTAGATTGTACTTAAAATCATTCACTAAACATGCTAAATCTTTGTGAATATGAAAAGCCTCAAGAAAATCCAATTCACCAACGGAAGAAGCCTTTTGGATAATTTTTGCAGATCTAAAGTCAAAATTATGATTAAATTTCCAGCTAGGAAATGCTATTGAAGACTTGTTAATTTCGCCTTTTTGAACATAAGATTTATGTTCCTTGATATGAAATTTTAACGCCCTTTTTGTTTGTCCAATATATCTCAAGCCACACTGACACAATATACTATAAATTCCCCAAGAATTAAAGTCAGAAATGCAATTTTTAAAATCAAACCTTGAATTTTATTGATAGGGGAGAAACTAAGTTGAAAATTGAATTTCTGGAATCTGCGCAACTTTATAACTAACAGAAGGATAAAATGAAAGCACGACAAGGTCATTAATATTATTTCTAACAGTGGAATGTCTTCTTTAATGGGAATCTGAAATTTTTTTTAATGGCTTTATCAATGATCACGGGAAAAAATCCTCAGTCAATGGCAACTGCTTTCAAATAATTAAGTTCATTGGTAAGCAAAGATTCTGAGAAACAAACTTTGAGCGCACAAAATACATAATAGTAAAAAGAAGCCATTTTTTACTTAACAGGGTGGCATGACTTAGCATGGAGTGGTAAACAAACTGCAAAGGGTTTATGGTACAAAGTAGTGCTAAAATCAACTTCATTGCGGATTATAAGAATATCAAGGAAAGGGAGGGAATTGTTGGATTCAATTTCAAGAGTGAATTGGATGGCTGGATCAACTGAATTTGTAATAGATAAAATTTCGGATAAATCTTTATTACCATCAAAAAACACGAAAGTGTCATCTACATACTGAATCCAGAGACGAAAAGATAGTTTATCAAATAATTTCACCTCAAAATAGTGCATATAAATGTCAGCAAGTACAGGACTAAGAGGATTACCCATAGCTAATCCTTCAATTTGACGAAAATATTCATTTTAGAAAACAAAGTGGGTTTGATGCAGAGATACTTTAGTAAGCAAAATCAACTCATCCAATTTCACTATGTGTGAAATGGAATTCCTGAAGCCTAGTTTCAAGACATTTTAGTGCTCCTTCGACTGGAACATTGGTAAACAGTGATTTGACATCAAATGACACCATAATGAAAGGCAGTGGAGAAATATCTTTAAGTTTATCGATGACTTCAAAAGAATTTTTTACGGTGTGAATATTGTTAGCAGGTAAAGAAGAAAATCTGGAAACTAAATATTTTGCTGTACCTATGTTGGAAACAATTGGTCGAAAAGGAATACCAGTTTTGTGAACTTTTGAGAGAGTATAAAGCCTAGCACAATTAGTAATAGGTGGAATAAGTGATTTCTTCAACTGCGTTGGCAGTATATGAGAAGATTTAATAGCTGTTTTAACTTTCATGAGGTCCGAAGTTGAAGGATCTTTAGGTACCGAGCAGTATGGGCCTTCATTTATCAGTTTAGAGACTCCAGCAATATATGTGTGTTTGTCCATAACAATGATCTGTCCGTCCTTATCAGCTTTAAAAATAATGATATTAGTATAAGAATGAATTTCATGTAAGGTCTCCTTTCCTTTCTGCTAAGATTCGAACTCAAAGATTTGTTGTTAAAATTAACGTTATGAGTAATTAGGTGGCGGATTGTATCCTTCTGCATTTCTGAAATTTTGGAGAATTTAAAAGCTTTCTCAATAGGGGCGATGATTTGAGGAACTGAAGGTTTAGATGTCTTTGAAAAGTTGAAATTATATTTTAATACTTTTAACTGATCCTTCAAAAGATTCTTGTTGGGAAGATTAATTAGATGTGTGAGCTTGAGGAATTTAGAAACCAGCATATTTTTATGCCGTTGACAAACAGTATCGGTTCTAGATTACAATGTATGATCAAATGAAGAAAAAATTTACAGTTGAATTAGCAATTTTTAAATGGAGGTAATATAATTCAAATTCAATTTTAGATAAAACGTTTGCACGTGTCCCTTATAATATAACGAAGAAGTGACAATTTGAATTTATGGCAAAAGGAAAAATATAGTGATTAAGAGTGTGATTAAATAAGTGATACTGATAATCAATTAAAAACAATTTTGTAATATATTTTAAAATTCCATAAATTAGATATTTTTAAAAAATATTTTAAAGTTTCATAAATCACAGATATTTTTAGAATGAATTAGACAACTTTTTTTGGGGAGATTATCAAAGAAACAAAATAATAATGGATTCTGAAATATGCGAGCCCTTTTAACACAATACAATAAAAGTACAAAACTGTGTTTTATGACCTGCATTCATAATTTTTTGATAAATACTGTGATATCATAATATGTATATAACCATGGCGTTCACAACAAACAATGTTTATAAATGTTTCAATGAATCATCATTGATACTAGATTTCATAGCATAATGCAACCTTAAAGAAATAAGAAAAGCTATAGCTTATTTGTATTCATCATAATATTGAACAAGAACTCGAGTACATAACGGTATATTATTAATAGAAAGCTTCTAACTGCTGCTATTATTAACACTTATATTTCTGTATTAATGATTAATCATATCAGTGAATTTTTCAAAATTTTGAAAATGTTTTAAAAATTTTCCAAATTCATTTTTGATCATTGGGAAATAAAAGCATAAATTTAAAAGCACTTTTAAATTTATCATTGTATATAACAAGATACGTGCAGAATATATAAAACAAACTTGTGGCGTTATAATTCCAAATGTGGGAAACACTAATTCAAAATTTAATAAAACATATGCTGCATTAATCAGATTAATAAATAATTCACTAAATATACATTACTCAAAAGTACAAGTTTAAGCCTCCCTCCCCAAAAAAATACTATTCCATAAAAGCACTTAATTCTCATTTTCTTTTTAGGTCACCTTAAAAGTACCACATAAAAACAGCTAGCTGATGAAGGACTCACACTGAGGCAGCAGTCATTTATTTTTGTGCTTAAATAATTAAAAAAACTGTGATGATTAAAATGATTATTTTTAGTATTAAACATTCTGAATTTTTGATGTTTTGAATAAAATATATTTTTATATTCTGATTTGATTAATTACTCATTTTAAGGGAGCCCATAATAGACGTTCATATTCGTCAGAAGACATCTGCTATTTTATATAGTTGATGATTCTGCAAATAAAATAATTGGTTATTATTTTATTTGTAATATCCGGGCATTATATTCTAATAATAAATATATTTACAATATATACTAGTTTTTCTTAACTTACTGCTCTATTCTTATCCCTTTCCAGTATTCCAAAATATTAAGTGATGCATTCCAAATATTAATTTTTTAGTGTGCAAAAGTATTAATGATTATTAGGGATATTAAAAAATATTACATATAAATTTATGCTTTTATTCTAATTAACAAATATAATTAAATAAATATTTCGATCAATATCATTTTCTTATTGATATTAAATTTTTTTCAGTTCTTTCAACTATGTTCTTTGTTATAAGTTTTTGTATTATAGTTTGAATTTAACAAACTGAAGATAAACTTTTTATCCTATACCATGAAATTCCCTCTGTAATATACTAATTAAATGATAAAAGAGTATATAAAAAAGTCTTCTCAATTAAATATAAATTTCTAAATTTATATTTAAATGATAAAGTTTTCCAAATCTATCTAAAAGTTAATTTAGATAGATAAAAAATTAAGAATTCACCATTTCAGTAAATTATCTTCATCATAATTAACACTGAAAGACCATGTTTGTCTTCATTTGGATACACAAGATCCATGAAGACAAAAATTCTATTTAATGCACCATTGAGCTATCTAAAACAATTACTTCATTGAATTATACAGTTTCTTTCCTTTAGAATATGTGTGGCTAAATTTGAATGCATGTCACTCCATCCAAAACTAATACAAATATCCTGTGTTATCTGGGGATAGATGAAGATTTCATAACATCTATTGGGTGTCTCCTGGATGCTGTGCCTAGGGACAGATCTATTAACTCCTACCTATGCCACTGTGTCCTGTTATGTGTATTTGGATGCAAATAACACTTAATGTGTTATTTTTTTTTCCAAAAGAGGAAATTTTTATACACACACATACATAAATGCAAAACTCAGTGTTTTATAAGGCCTTACAAAGGTCAGTTATTTGAAACGATAGAATGATCATATTTGTAGACAGATCATTTAACCAATAACAGAAGAAGCTGGTTACATGGTTAGTTGCACATATAGCAAATAAAGGGTAACTATTACTGTATAGTCAGAAAAAATTGCTTTGGAGGCTATTAATTCCAGCGAGATGGAATATCTCCTCACAGAATATTATTAATACAATCCATTCAGTTCTGAAGACACAGGCTATCCAAATCGTTAGACAAACAGAATGCACTAGCCTCCACACTCCCTGAATTTGAGTCTTGATTTTTTTTTCTTTGGGCATATAGCAAAGATTAGAGCTATTACAAGACCTCCAAAAAACCATTGTTAATGCTTTTGATAGTCTCCAGAATGAAAGGTCACTGAAAACTTTATCATTTGATTGCCTTTTATTCTAAACAGACATCTTAGATGGTATTTTTTTTTTTTTCTAAATAATAACTATCACTCAATTATAATGTTTTTTTTTTAAATTGCTCTATTCAAAGGAAATTCTCTTCAAATTATTTGTCATAATTTATCAACCAATTTTCTATAACCTTCTTTACTTAATTGTTATCTTATATTTTTATTGTTTTGTTTCAGAATATAATATGTTTAGACTTCTCTTTAATCATTAGAAAAACATTTGATATTTACTAAATGCTTTTCAGTTTAGTCAGTAAAAAACGGCTTACATTATAGCTAGAAATTAATACATACTGTTGCTATGAAACTGGTGGGAGGGTAGACCACAAAAATAATAGAACACATGATGAAATTGCTACCATTAATTTCGTTACAATAGAAGTACTGAAGATATCAATAATATAGACTTGTATATTGCCTCCTTTAGAAAAGAGGATCTCATTTGAAAGGGTAGTTTCATAGTTTTAGGAGAGAGAATACAGACAGCCTTTTATTTACTTGTTAGGTATCTATTTTTTATGTATAAATATACAGAACTACTTTCATTCACATTTTAGTATTTATCAACATTTATGCTTTTCCTTGTTTAATTTATAAAACATGTTAGAAAGTAATCTAAATTAAAATAAATATATATGCATTTTTTTAATGTTGGAAAAGATGGAATGAATGATCATCTAGCATTTTGTGTCTTCAGAAACAACGAAATCTGAAGACACAAAATAGCTTTCTGCAGTGTGTCTCTCGCCTAGAACAATATAATCATATAAGAACACTGAAACCGGCACGGCTGTTTTTGCTAAATCCTTTGGATTATAGCTTCCTTGATGTGCGGTTGGACCTGGAAATGAAAGTAGATAAGGAAATGAGTCAAAAGCAAATAAGAACTATAGCTTTGGAAACAACTGAGCAATGTTTTCCGGCTGATGAATGAATACATGATATACGGATGGCTGTTTCACTGATAGGATTCAGGAGGCTGGAGCTGGAGTTTTTAGCAAGCTTTTCAGTTTATACGAGGGTTGGAACTTTAATAGTGGCAACATAGCTGAAAAAACGCTACGCAACAAAACCAAAGAATATTGCGTATACCACACGTAAACTACATACCTAAGTTACCTCTCAGCAAAAAAGACTCGTCCTGCCTGCGTCACGCGCATTGGGAGTGATGCGAAGAATAGATCCTTGTATTAGCTCGCGGTCTAAAGTAAGTGTTGTCAGGATGTTTTCAAAACAAGAACAACGATGTTGAATAAAAATTGAATGTGCCTGAGGTCGTACAGCACGACAGTGTCATCAAGGGCTTCAAGAGGCTTGCGGGAAATTTGCCGTGCCTTACAGAACCATAGCAAAATGGGTGAAAGCATTCAATGAAGGATGCCAAAACGTGGCAGAATGCTGCAGCCAGGTCGTCCGAGTGTCAGCGATACAGACAGATAAGCTGTTGCCACACTAATGGACAGTGATCGCCGCCAAACGATTCGTCGGCTGGCCGGACAAACAGGATTAGCGCATACGGCTGTGCTGCACATTCTGAAGGTACGCCTGTCCATGAGAAAAACTGCTTCACGATGGGTTCCCCATCAATTGGCAGAAATGGCTACGATACGATGCTGCTCGAACCCACCTGGAGCGCTATGAACGCGAAGAAGATGCTTTTTTACGCCGTATCATTAAGCTGGATGAGACTTGGACCCGATCGTACCAGCCAGAACTGAAACGCTAATCAAATGAATGGCGTCATAACAGGTCATCACGACGTTCGAAATTTCGTCAGAAGCCCAGCAATGTGAAAGTTATGGTGATTCTCGTGTACGACTGTGATGGTGTCATCCTAATGCATACCGCTCCCCCACTAAAGACCGTAACCGTGCAGTATTACTGCTCATTTTTGGAGCACAATCTCCAGCTTGAGAAAAAACCAGCTTTGAGAAAAAAACGGCGACACTTTCTGCAGAACGCTCCTCTCATTTTGCATGATGCTCGGCCGCACACAGCGCAAGCTGTGACTAATTTGTTCAAGCGATGGGGCTGGGAGGTGCTTTACCATCCACCATACTCCCCAGATCTAAGCCCTTGTGACTATGACTTAATTCCTAAGATGAAGGAACCACTTCGTGGCACTCGCTTCCAAACTGTTCCTGAGATTCTTGCGGCAGTAGACCGGTCCATTCAAACTATCAACAAAACATGCGCTGCTACAGGTATTCTGCGACTTCCACATCGTTGGAAACGAGTTGTACACAATGCTGGCGACTATATTGAAGGTCTTTAAAACATGGTGACATGAATCACTTTTGTATTCCTTGTAAATAAATAGTTGCCACTATTAAAGTTCCAATCGTACATACCTGTAGGGGCTTACTCCACTCTGATGGAGAACTGAAAGCCATTCATGTAGCTCTCCAACAATTATCATCGAGACAGAGCTCGTTCAGGAAGGCTGTTGTACTGTCCGATTCGACTTCAATACAGGCCATTTCCTCTTACCAAGAGTGTAAGAACATATGCGTTCAACAATATCAGGAAGTCATAAAAGATAGATCACAAGATATCTTTTTCAATGGGTACATTCACACTGTGGTACTTATTAGAATGAGATGGCTGATATGCTTGCGGAAAAGGGGGCTACGGTTTTCCCAAAGCCAAAAATGAGTGCAAGCCTCCATTTTATTAAGCTTATGACAACGCTAACATATCGAAAGACTTTTAGAGATTTTGCTACTCGAGCTTGTGAGGGCAAACCTTGGAGTGTTCTTTCAACAAACCCAGCTTTTATTCCTGACCACCCGTGAACAGTTGCGGTTGCATCTTTTAGACTACTGAGGGGACATAACTGTCTACAGAATCATTTATTTTGCATTGGACTAGCTAATTCGCCGTTGTGTGTTTTATGTAATGGTGATCGGCCAATGACGGCGAAACATTTGGACGAGTGTGAAGCACTGACAAATTTTTCTTATAGATTTCAGCGCTATTGGCAAGTAAGAGTTTAATGGCCTAATGGCCAATGTAACTGGCATTTAACAAATAAAATAAAATAAATGATCATCTAGCAAAGGTTAGAGGACAACAAAGGTTGAGAATCACTGCTCTAGAGAGATGTTTGAAAACAGGCTATCCTGAACATAGACAAAAGAGGTTAATGAATCTTCTTACATAAGTCATACTTTTATATTACTACATCATTTTAAATTCTTTTGTGCATTAAGATGACATATTTTAAAATATGAATGAAGAAATACTAATGCATATAATGTTAGGTTCTTTCAAAATGCATTCATTGCTCTTATTTAGTACATTACTAGGTATGAAAATTTTACCACTGTATTTCTTATTCCTTTTGCAATATTTTGAGCTGATACCAGCAAGGGACATTCCATTGTTATTTTCTTACTGAAATTAAATATCTTGAAAAGGAAAAATGACTGAAATTCATGAGTGTTTTTGTATGGCACACTACATTTGTTATTGATGCTGAGCTTGCAAAATGTTTTAATTTAGGATTCAATAACAAAGGGGTATTTTTAGAAAATGAAATTTCCTTTTCTTAACCAATTTGTAAGTAATTTCACGTGGCTATTTATGCTATTGCTTGACAAGAGTGATAAGATGTCTTAAAAATAATATTTATATGACAGAAAGTAAGGTTGTTCAAGAGAAACATGCTTGGGATGAGATGGCTTCGTGAAGGATTTTCTATGAAAAACTAGCTCAATTTATGTTACTCTTAAACAAAACTGTGAAAACAATTATGCAGCCAGCCCATCTGGAGATTCAAACCAAGGTCAAAATATCTGTATTTAGTGCTCTTATCTACTCACCTACTGAAGGGTAAAAATAGAGAAAGAGTAAGAAGCTTGTATTTTTATAAGAATATCAGCATAAGCTTTAAAGTATTCTGAAAAGAATAACCAGAAAAAATGTTCCCAAGAAATTTATGGGTTGAAACCAAGAAAATTATAAGATTTAAAGCAAATATGTTTGGTGGAATAAATATACTTCTTTTGAAGAAATATTTTGGTATATTTTTTATGGAGTTCCAAGGAAAGCATAAAAGTGAAACTTGATTGAAAAAACTTTTTGCCTTTTTTTTTTTTAATCCGCAGCAGTTCAAATATCTACAAATATAACAATTTGAGTTTTATTTTTAAGAAGTTTAGCTAGATCTTATTTACTATGTAAAAATTCCATTACTATCTGAGATTATAAACTTAAAATATTGTGTCTTTATTAACCTCTTGGATACATTTGACGTCTGAGACATGTCATTAACTTTTTTCCCTTTAGAAGCGGATGACGTGTCCAAGACGTCAAACCAAAAATTAAACTCTTCGGTACATTTGACGTCTGAGAGACGTCATTCACTTGTTTTCCCTAGGAGCGGATGACGTGTCTAAAACGTTATTTGAGGTTAGGCACAATTCTGTTCATTTCATTGTAGCTCGTATAAGTCATAATAGAAGAGGCAATTACAGTATTTCGGTGAACATTATTTGCAATACACTGCCCCATTATGTCAAAAACAAGGAATATATTTTATGATAGTGATAGCGAAAGTCACTTTGAGAAATCTAAAGAAGAATTGTTTAGTGATCCTGAAATTGACAATTACCATGAAATACAAAGCGAAGGTGATGAAGACGATATTGAACTAGAAAAATGATGACAACTGTAATATAAAACCAAGGTTTCGAAGACAAGACATCTATCGAGCGGTTATAGTGAAACTTCTCATGAACCAGTATCAGAGGAATGGATTTGGGAAGAAGAAGAAAATGTAGCCGATATAAAAAGTTTTTCTGAAATATCTGGAATTAATCCTTTGAGCCTGCATAGACTAGGTGGTAATCGTACGCCTTTAGATGTTTTGAAAGAAGTCTTGAATGAAGATTTTTGGGACACTATAGTAGAAGAGACGAATAGATATGCCAGACAAGTGATAGAAAAAGAAAGTTGTGTAACAAAAAACAAAAAAAACAAAAAAAAAAAAAAAACCCAAAGGTTGTTTCCTGTAAGTTCTGATGAAATGAAAGCTTATATTACATTATGCATCTTGATGTTGCAAACGAAGAAGCCAAAAATGCATATGTATTGTTCAAAAAGAATATGCAATAAGTAACTCCAATTTTTGCCAAGCACTATGCACGCGATAGGTTTTTTTTGATATTTCAAGCTTTCTACATTTTACGGATAATGAAAAGGAAAATAAAGATGACAGAATAAGAAAGATTAGAAATATAGTGGATTAACTAAATAATAAATTTTGTTACCTTTATACTCCTGATATAGTGAAGTAGCTATTGAGGAATCGCAACCAACATTTATATCCGTTTACCCCCCCCCCCCCCCCCCCCCCCCCCCCCCCCCTCCCCCCCCCCCCCAAGATTCAGATGCATATATTTTCTCAAATAAATCTGTACCCAAGGGGTTAATCATAACTTGCAGACATAAAACTTTTTCTTACAATCAGTTTTGATTAAATACATTTACATCAAAAGTATGATAAATTTTTCAGAATTTGTTCAGTTTTTTATTGTTTTTTTATTTACAAATATATAAAAAATTATTATAATAATGCATAGTTAAGTTTCTGGTGCCCATAGTTTAAAAGTTCTATCAAATGAAGCAGTAGCAATGTACTGATCATCATTCGATATGTCTGCTCCCATTACCTTTCCACTATGTCCAGATAATGTTTGAATTGGAGTCCATCCTGGATGTGACCACACCTAAAAAAAAAAAAAAAAAAAAAAAAAAAAAAAAAAAAAAAAACAAGACTAAAATATATCTTTGTAACATAAATGTAAATACCAAAATCTTACCTAGAAACTCCAAATGAATTCTGAATACCGTTTGACAAACTGAAATCGATATTACATTAGATATAGCATTCAGTATCTATCTATTCGGTTAATACTTTTTTTACACACTTCAAATGTATTTATTTTGTGGGCAGATTCAATTGAACATCGAGAATCGTGGCATATATGATGTATTTGATAAAAAATTTTGATCCATTAAATAAAACAAAATATTCCTAGACCTATATCCCTAACATGAACTGTTCTCAATTTGGGATGTAGTCATATTTTTGATTAAAACAAATCTGAATTCTCATACTGGAATTAAGTTTTGGGTATTAATATAAAAAAAATATTATCAGTCTGTGTGAGATGGTGCTTTTTCACATGGTAGCAAATGCGTTTAATGCTCATCTTATTAATTTGTTTTTTTTCTGAAATTATCAACTTCGTTTTTCATACTCAAGCTGAGCCTCTTCTTAAATGAAGAGTTGCTACTTATTACAACTTGTAATTTTTTGTCTGTGTGCTTATTTTTATTAGAGGATATAATATTCAATGCCTCAGTAAGGTATTTAAAATTTAAATGCATGCACATCAGAAAAAATTTATATTCTTGCCAATTCTGTGCCCCCCCCCCAAAAAAAAAACTTTTTTCTTCTCATAGAAGCAATGACTATGTTTCACAGGCTACATAATTTTATAAATATCACATGTTTTGAACAGTTCATTGAGATGAATTTTAATTATGGTTTTTCTTTTAAATACTGACTAAATTCTCTTTATATTTAAAAGACTGCATGTCTCTAGTTTTTTTTGGAAAAACAAATTCTTGAACAACTAAGGACACGTCATCTGGTTAAAATGAAAATTGTGTTAAATACACATTTCTTATGTATAGAATCTCACTGTTGTTTCCATGTTAAAAACAGATGAAAAATGAAAATCCATCACCTCTGTATAGCATTTTATAAGACTTGTTTTAAATGGATAATTTATGATGAATGGTAAGTTTGTGAAAAACAGATCATAAAAATCTAAATTTAAATAGAAAAGAATCAAAATTTTATACAAGTGCTCATCTGTATTATAAATGTATTTGATTTGGGATATATTTGATTTGGAAGAGTTTCTTTCAGAAAGGTGCAGAATATTCCTTCATTTTTAAATGTAGCTTTACCAGATAATACTGCACTTTTTAAGACACGGAAAACGTAATGATTTTAGAATGGTGTCTCATATATCAGCTGAAGCTAAAAAATGCTTTCTTTGTGTATCCTGTCATCCATCCATTTATCTACCATCATATACACACTCTTTTTTTTCATCGTATTTAATAAACAAGTGTAAGTATCTCTATTAAATTATCAAACAGACTGGGAAAAATTTCAGAACTTCTACACATGCAAGTCTTTAAAAAAAAAAAATGAAATGTTTGATTACCTTTAGAGAATTATCATAAGAAGTAGTAACCAAGTAATCACCGTATGTTTCTGCAAAACAAAATATCGAGTTTTAAAAAATACATATATATAATTATAAAATAAAACACAAAACAGTAAAGGTAACTTACAATGCACATAAACTCTTTAATATGAAAGAATTAGCAGCAAATGAATAAACAATTAAAATATGGAAATGATAAAAACTTCCAAATGCTGTTATCAAATGAAAGGTTTAGAATATAAGTACTGTAATTTCCCTTTTTTCATAAAAAATGGTGTTTGGTTTGGGTTCTCTTCATGTTAGGTGACTTGCCACTTTTAGTAGATTTACTAAAAAATGAAATAATTTTAAAAAACTTACTTTCAAAGAGCACTCTAGACACAAGATTAGTATGAACTGCTATCGTATATTCACACTTTTGTCTTCTTAAGTCCCACACTTTTACAGTATTGTCAGCACTTCCAGTGGCCAACTGATAACTAAACAGAAACAAAGGTAAGAGTTAATAAATTTTATACCATTGAAAATTCTTCATTACAACATTATGTAAAATCTAAAGAATTCAAATATATCATATGCCTTGAGTGAAAAGAAAATTTTAAAGTTTATTTAATTTTAATTATATTTGATTTAAAACCATATATAGCATCTTTCAACCAAACTTTAAAATTAGTCAGAATTTAAACTCAGTTTGGCATTCGTTTGAGATGAATAGTCTCTGCATTTAATAAGAAAATCCAGAGTGACTTGCTCTCCATTCAGAGCATATAATCTGCAAATGTGCTTCTCTATGCCATTTTGAAATACGAACAGGCTCAAAAGATAAATCATGAGTAAAAGATGAAAAAAAAAATTAAAGTTCAAACTCACCAATGTCAGGCATACACAGTGTGCTGCTCTATTTATTATAATGTGCTGGATTAATTAAATTCATGTTTTTTATTCAATTCAAAAACTAAATTGCAAAAAATTTTAATCAAATCATTTGTTTTATGGAATTTTATATCCTGATACCAATAAATTATGTTTTAAGTTAACCCTGAAATTTCAATATAATGAATAACTATAGTCAGTCATGGATAAAGTGCTATTTTCTTGATTTTAATTCCAAAATGATTTTCTCACTTTTTACCTTAACTAATTTTCTTCCAATCCATGGTGAACTGCAAAGCAGACACATAAGGAACTGGCAGAAATTTTCATGTATAATGAATTAGAAAGTCATCCTTCTATGGAATTTGGTGTCTCTAGCCTTTAACGGTTAAACTCTTTTTGACAACAAAATACAGTTCATTAATAAAATAATTTGACTTAACAGGTAACTAATTCTTTAGGAAAATCGGTCGAGATAATAAAAAAGTAAAACATTATCAAAAAAGGGGAAAAATGTTTTTAACATTTTTTCTAATAATGATATTCAAACAGAATTTTACATGAAAAAGTGTACTATTATAAGGAATAAAGATACTACCACACAAAATAACATATTATATAAGCAGTCAAAGAGCATAATGATTAAATTATTTATTAAATTAAAATCATAAACATGAAATCATTACCCATTTGGAGAAAAGCAAATAGTGAGAACAGAATTTTGATGACCTGCCAGAAACATGATGCATCTGCCCGTTCGTAAATCCCAAACTCGACCAAAAGCATCCATTCCACTGCAAAATTTAGACATTATATATTTTATATGAAATAAGAAAAACTTAATATGCTTTCAAAAATTTAATAAGCCTAATTATACATAATAACCTACACACACAGATGCATTTAAAGCTATTATCTCAGAATTTAGAAAGATACTATACTATTAAGACTTCATCACACATTCATTAAAAGTAAATTAAATATTGATACATTTAGTCTCTTTGTTATTTTGGTTATTTCAGCACTACTGCCTACACATATATATACAGCTATTCGTCCAATATAATAATAACTGCATTTAAAACTGAAAGCAGAAGAAAATTCTTTAGAATAATTCCTTGAAAATATGATGATAAGATATGTTGAGACAAAAACATTTTAATCATGTTACCATTACAAAAGTGCTACATGCGGTAATAGGTAAGTTCTGATGCAAAATTAAACAATGTTATGCCCACTTATATTCTTATAATTGTAAATTACAAAGAAAACAATTTATTTTCTTAGCAGAGTTAATGTTTTTTGGTATTATTTTTCTGTCAACATCAGAAATATTGTGTGAAACAAGAATGTAAATGTAATAAGTAATTTCTTTTTGTCATTAACATCTCAAAGGTGCACACATGCATGAGAAGAGGAAGAAGACATGGGATATCTCTGATTAATATATTAAAATCTGAATCTGCTGGTGGGAGATGCTTCATTCCTGTGTCATTTGGCAAACATATTTTAACACCCACTGTTTGTATTTTACACTTAAGTCTTGCTATTAAAATGTCAAGAAAATAAAGACACTTTCATTAAAAAATAAAGCTTAAAAAAAAGGGGGGGAAGAAAGATTAGAAAATAAAAAAGAGGTTGGCAAATGTTAAATTGTTGCATAAATAAAAGCCACCTATGGACTTTTAGGGACATAATGTATAATGTTACTATGCGGATGTTAAGATTTTACTTCTGTTAAGATAGGCCTAGTTAATGCTCAGCTAGGCTAAAAATCATCTGATGATAAAGAAAAGCTGTCAACTATCTGGTTTATTATAGAAGAATCAGTAAAACATGGAAACTTGACTGATTCGCTGAAGAAGAAGAGTTCTTAATTTCAACTTTTCTTTTAAATTAATAAAGAACTTATATTATGGAATTGTTGCTTTATGCAAACTCTTCCTAACAACAAAACTTTATATCCAATCACTAATAAATCTACTACATCACAATTCCTTGGAGCATTAGCATAAGCAAAGGAGCTTTTAGGGTCATCAGTTCTTTCTCATCCCCTTAATTCAGCTAGATCTACTCTTCTTGATTCATCCTCATCTACATCTTTCACAGTCTCTTCATATACCACCAATATGTTCTGTCCATTTATTTAATTCTTCAGTTAAAAGGTCTTTTACTTTACACTTATTTTTATCATTGTATGATATTTTCATGTTTTTGATTTTTTTTAAATATATCTTTTCTTTCTGGTCCAATTCCTAAACCTGCAAAAATCTGAATTGTTAGCTGAACTAGTATAAAAGGAAGGAGGGAATGATTATTTTTAAAAACACTGCAAGGTAAATTTTACTGGAAATATTTTGCAAGCCTTATTGCCTAATCTAAATAATTCTAAGCTAAATAATCATAATGAATAATAATGATAAGGCATTACCCAGTAGCTACGAGTGATCCATCACATTGAAAACTGGCATCGTAAACAGGTTTACTGTGACCTTCTTGGTGAAGTATTTCTTCTCGAACTTCCAAATCCCATAATCTCCAAGAATTGTCAAATCTAAAATTTTTAAATATATATTAAGTATACTTTAGAGAAAGTTATATTATAAAGTGATACATGTTAAATACACTATGAGAAAGGTAACTGTAAAATACTTTTCCTCACTTTGAAATATAAATCATAGTAATAATTAGAACTTTTGAGAGGGATTTATATTATTTATTTTCCTAAATAGATAACATCTTCATCACACTTTTAATGTGCATTCCATTACTCTGATATGCACCATTCTTTTAAATACATTCAGTTTCATAAAAAGTAAATTTTACTTACACACAGGTGACTAAAAACCGTCCAGATGGATGGAAAATAAGCCTTGATACACGATGTGGGGCATGCCCTTCTAAATCAGCAATTGGTTCATCACTAAATGAGAAGAAAATTCCCATATTATTGCTAAAAAAATTCAGAATTTTAAACAGTATTAAAAAAGAATAAATTAAAATTACAATAAATAAAAGCTGCTAATAACTATGCTATGTTCTGGCCACAAAAATTATCATAAAACTATTTAAAAATTTCCCTTTAAAAATAAACTGGAAAGAAACAAAATGTGTACTCTCGCATTTCCTTTTGTTTTCATAAACTCTTAATCAAATTAGATAATTTTCATTCAAATACTTGTTTTCTAGTTAAAATATTTTAAATTACACAAATCTGCTCTTTTTAGTGCAATTACACTGATTAGTCATTATTTACATTATAATTATTCCAGGCAATCAAAATAAAGTAAAGCTGTAAATTTAACCTTTTTAAATCCCACAGTTTTACAGTTCCATCAGTGGAACATGATGCCATATTTACACTGCTTTCTGATTGACTCAGGGTTGCCTGTGGATGAAATACAATTGAGCCAACATTACAGTTATGACCTGTAAGGAAACTGTAATGAGATACTATTCACATGACTTCATATAATTTGTTGTAGAAGTTTTAAGCCAAATATAAACTTAAAGCTCTAACAAATTATTAAAACATTATTTGCAGAATTACAAATAAATCAATCACAAAATCACAATACATATTTTAAAATAAAATATGAAAAGTGGCTGAAACCTCTTAGTGTTCTGATAAGTTCACAGTCTGGAACAGACCACAGTTTGCAAAGACCACTCCTATATATCGGGGGGAAAATAAATCTGTAATACATATTTAAAAAAATCTTAAAAAATGCAGCAAATTTTTTTTAGCAAAAGTTACAAATAATTAATGCAAGCATTTTCAAGATATGAAAAAGCAATATATTTCTTTTCATTCAAGGAATTTTTATTCAAAAGTTTAATAAATATAGAAGCCAACTATTAACTGTTTAGAAATGACAGATTAATACTGCTATAAAAAAACAACTGCCATGGAAGAACAGTCTACTTTTCTTTTACTAAATGTTCTATATTGTTGAATGCCTTAATTATGAAATATTTCAAATTTAATTACATAGTATGGTAAACCAGGAGATAGGCTGCAGTTCCATTTTGAACTATGTTTGTTCAGTCTTACCTTCCTGATATATGAACTACAAAATGTAGAAAATGCCTTCAGAGGGCAGTGCTGGGCAAAAAAGGAACCCCAGAGTGGAAAAAAAACCCAAAGTGTGTTTTTGCTTTGGGGAAGTGAGAGTTCCTGCCTTTGTGGCGAAAGTGTTGAAACAATTGTAAAGATGTGAAATAAAGCTACAGTCCTAAACTTTATAAGTGTTTTTGAGTTATTGAAAAGTTTTGATTTATAATATGAACTTTCAATGTTCATAATGGTTTTATGAATTGCTGTGAACTACAAGTTCTGCAGCTGTTGTTTCATTCCACTGTCAGCACAATTCTTATAAAAATTCAGAAAGGAAAGCACATTTAACATGAACTTAGTTATATCTAATTAAGGAAAATTAATTTTTAAACAGGCACACTGAATTTCAGTGAATGAATAAAATTTCAAATTAATTTTGTGGTGGGTAAGAAAATGCCATAGCGTCAACTTTAACATATGAAAAATCGTGAGATTCTTTAGTGAAAATCAGAAATTTCCAGGAAGTTTTTGGGATATGCAGCAATACCATTTCGGAAGAACTCTATACTGACTTAAATTCACTTTATAATGCATGATCCAGATTACTGAAATATTAATATGTTTGAGGTATATATTACTATTTAATTTGATATTCCAAGTTTCGTCTGCCTAATTTTATTTCGTAATTTTCTTGAACTTTTAAAATGAGATCCCTAGTAAGTAAAGAAAGCTTTTACTTCTCAAAGTGCTTTTAAATATAATAAAAATAAAAGTAAGAATTAATTTACATATTATTGTGGGATAAACTTAGAATGCAATGTAATCTATGAATAATATACTGATGTAAAACAAAATTAAATACAAATATTAATTGATTAAACATTGCTTGAATCTTCTTAAAGAATTCTAAAATTGTCTACAACAGATTAAGACTAATAAGGAAAATTATATTGAAAATCACTAGAGGGTGGGGGGATTACAATTTAAATTTCATTAATTTAATAAATTTCAATAATTGTTGAGAAACATTTTGTTTAATACATGATAAAAAATTGGGAGATTTTTTAATCTACCACGAGGCTAGATATGATGAAAAACCAGAAGAGTATGCAGCCATGAAATATATTTAAAATGCATATCACAATATTTAAATGAAATAAAAATCAGTATAGTAAAAATATTCATAAAAAATTACCTTAAATATTTTATGAATAGCCTGCAAAGAATGAAACTTTCAGTTTGTTCTTTAACCTTCCAGCATGCGCATATGTGCAAAATTTATGACAAATTCAGTTTTTAATGCCAATTTTTTCGCATATAAATGGCACATTTCATTTCTATTCCTCCTTTCTACCCTTCCCCTACCATCATGGAATGTGCCAACAAGAAGTGATTTGGTCTTTTTTTTTTTTTTTTTTTTACTGGTCATTTATCACTGCATCTTTTTCGTAAAGTTCGACATGCACATTTCGTTGGTAAATTTGGAAAAATTTTTTTTTATTGGTATTTTTTGTTGTTATTAATTGCCTTATTTTTTTTTTTGATGCATTTGGCTCTATAATTTTATATCATTTTATTGGCAAAAAAATAGTGCAACCGCCCGCATTCTAAAGATTCTCTGATAAAAAAGAAACAGAAACTTTGGATGGGAGACAATCGATTTTTCTTCCTATTTCCTTATTTCTATTTTTTAGAAAAAATAAAAAGTTAGTTTTAAAGTGGTTTTGGTAAACCAATAAGAAGTAATTCCGGCACAAGAAGTAAGCTAAACATAACTCCCAAGGTTTTTCCTCCCAATTTGTCTATACTTGCTTTGTTGAATATTAAAATTAGCTTCGATTTTAAAATATAGCTACAAGGAAAAATAAAATTAAAAAGTTCTATAATGAAATACATCACTGCAGTTCCCCACTACAAAAACTTAAAATAATCGATATTTGAATGAGTTCATTTGAATTTTGCAATAATAATTAATATTTTATTCTAAACAAATTTATAAATACACTCATTTCGTGCCCGTGCCAAAGATGGTAAAATAATAGATGTCATAAAAAATACGACGCGCGCATGTGATCATGTAAAATTGCCAAGTGCGCTTGCTGGAAGGTTAAATGGCTGTTCATTGAAACATATTTCTACTTATTTAACTACTTATTAAACTTATTTAACTACGAAACGGGAGTTTTTATCTGCTAATACAGTACAAAGTCTGAGATCCTTTGGGAATTTCAGACATTTCCAGATTTTAGATCATTAGTTTAAATCTAGTAAGATGTCATGCACACATGACAACACTGGGATTTCACTTGCTATTTAGGTCAGACAGAAAAATGTTAACCCCATGCCAGAACAGGTTCAGTTTATATGGTGCCAGAATTCAGGGGAAGCAAAAATTTTAGAATTTAGATGAGCACCATGCAGTAAGAATTAAGAATGGCAGGGTTTTTAGAATTTAAGGAAGTACTGGGTAGCAGAATTTAGAACCCACAGCAATAGCATCAGGTGACAAAATGCATCGTATTGGCCCTCCCTCCTTCACAACCATTCAAGAGCCAAAAATGGCATCCTGGCTAAAACCAATGTCAATCAATGCACTATTATTGACCATGGTAATGATTCCCTAGCCAGTAGGTTTTTGAAAGTGACATCCAGAATCTCAGTTAGCCCAGAGAAAAATTGCATTTATGGCACACCTTCTTTCCTTTGTTAATTTATAATTAATATTAATAACATTTTGTTTAGACTAGAAGAGAAACACGCTAATGTGACAATCAAAATCGTAAAAACAACCTTGTATTTAGCGTAAGTATATTGAAACACTCAATCGATTTCGAGGGCAGCTAAAGGTCCATCCTCATTTTGTTTATATATAATTATAGTTCTTCCTTTTGTTAATTTATAATTTTTGCTGTTTTCTCCATTTCTAGACTTTGCAATTGTTTTTAAAAACTTTTTTGGCTGATGGTCTGGAGTTTCAGACTGGAATCCAGTTTCAGATCATTCCATATATCAGCCATCCAGATTTCGGACTTTGAGCTTCATCTAGTTTACCAACAAATAACTCCTGTGATAGAACTGAATAAAAAAATTTATAAAATTTTGGAGAATTTATGTAAATATCATGTATGTATCTGTAAAATATGTTTAACACAGTGCTAAAAATTGTACATACATGCATAAATTTATAAGATTACTCATTTTCGAAATGCATCCTAAATGATTTAAAAATGCTGGCAATTAAATTTTAACTATTTACAAGCAATAAAATAATTAAGGCATTTACTAAAATATTGCAATAATACAAACCATGATGCAGTTGCAAGCATCTGTGAATTTGGACTAAATTGGCAAAATGATAATGGTCTTGTATCACCAATCTGACTGCAACTAATATTCAAAGACTAAAGGGAAAAGTAGCTTAACTTAGAAATAAATAAAAAATCATACGTAAATAAATTGTTTTAATAAGCCATTATAAACACAAACATGTATGTATATTATTAAAAAATTTTACACAACAGCGAATTTAAATTAAAAGATGTATACATCAGTTTTTAGAAAACGTTCCTTTCAATATGATTTAAGGGTGCATAAGGATAAACTGCAAATTTCTTTTATTAAGAAATACATAAGACTTTCAAAACAATTTGGAAAGCTTCATAGTGCTTGATTACTATCATTAAAGGTACCTACTCTATAAATATAACATCCAACTTAGTAATTAAGACTATCCCTAAATATAACATTTGAATGCTTAAAAAATTTTAGGATTGTAAGGAAAAGCATTGGTTTAATTTTGAAGCATAGCATAATGCAAGATCAATTGCCACACTGATGATCTTTTTACCAACAAATCATAGTTTAAAAGAAAATATAAAAGAGAAAGAATTTAGATAAGAAAAATATTTCTATATATTATACAAAATTATAATACAAATTTAAAGTTAGACCATGGAGAATTATTAATGACTAACATCAAGAAAAACAAAAAATTGGCCATTTGGAAAGAAACGATTCTGTTAAGACTCCCAGATAGGAAGAAGTATCAAACCAGTAGTTCCCAAAACAGAGACAGTTTTTGGTGTTTATTTTTATTATGAATATTTACTTATAATTGTTAATTTGTTTAACATGAAAGAAAAACATGTTGATTTGGAATTTAAATTAGGCAAAATTAATCCTTAATCTGACAATGCTTTTCTAGAAAAAGGTTTTACATTTTGAGAAAGACTGAGACATAATGGCACATTCTGCCATTAAAAACAATCGTAATAGTTATACTGTAATCTCAGTTACACATTTTAAAGATTATAAAATTAAGCAGAATCAATATAAATTACTTTCTCTAAAATGAATAAATTTTTTTTATTCAGTTTTTAAAGACCCAAATTTTAGATTTTAATTTTTCAGGAATTTATAACATTACTTTTCAATATGGTTTGACTCATGCATCAAGAAAACTAAGTCAACACTTATTTTTGTTAACACATGTTAAATGTGTCAGCAATTTGTTTAAAACTTGTTTAAAAAAATCAGTATTAAGTCAGAAAAAGAGAAATCTTGTATAGTTAATCATTGCTGATCCTATTCTGCTAAAATCATACAAAATACTTTACCTAATGAATTATTAAACAAAAAGGACTTTCCTATTCATAAAAATTCCTGAACTTTACTCAATGATTTTAATTCCAATTTTTTTCAAAGTTTTCAAACGCTTATGTCATAAATATTTTCTTTTTTATTTCATTGTATCAAATAAAAGAAGTATTGTTATCACAAAAAATTCAGGTATCATATTTCAATGAAAATATCCATTTTGACCGCTATTGAATGCAATCTAAAGATGTTTTTGCATGATATCTGTATGTAAGAATGGAATAAAGAACTATTTTTCTCCAAACAGATTATAAAATTGATTCAGAAGAGATTTTTTCATAACATCTGCACATATTACGTATCTTGCATAACTCAAAAACGAGTAGCCTCTGAATGTTAAAATTTTGTATATAAGACTGCTATAACATGTAGTTGTGCACCCCCCTTTTTGGCTGCACTAAAAGTATATAAATATGTATGTGTATATATATATATCCACTCTGTTACTCGGATTAGTGAGCTCAGTTTCTTTATTCTTACATGTTTGTAAATTGCACATGTTTTGCTTTAAAAATGATTGAATTATGTTGTTCTTATATTCATGTTAAGGTTTTTATGCCTTTACTTAACCTGCATGCAATAATTGTGGAATTATCAACAATTTAGAAGCTTTTTAAGTGCAGTTAAGCCTAATTTTTGTTTAGCATGGCAGCCACATTTGTTTACATTTGAAACTTAGCAGAATAGTGAATTAAGTCAGTTTCTGCACCTTCAATGTTTTTTTTTGGCTGAATGGGACCAAAAGTAAACTTTCAGTTTTGTGCACCGAAAAATCTGCCTGTAGCCTGCTGGCCAAATTGTTTGTTTTTATGTAGAAACTCTAATTTTAATGGTAAAAACTGTTTTAACTGTATTTAGTGTTTTATTTTTTCTATATTTTTAATTTTTAATAAAGGTATTTTGAAGATTTATGTACTTTTGCCTTACCGCGGAGTGAGAACTGAGTTAATTGAATGAGAAATCTCTCTAATGAAAATCAAAGAAATAAATTTATATCAAATGCAGCAAAAAATGTGTACTGTTTAATATTCCATACAAGTAAGTCATGTGGTGTCCACATTAGATTTTATTTAATTGATAATACTATGCCAGCTGCTTCTTTTTTATTTTTTTATTTCATCTTTTAGATGATGTATTTCTGATCGAAAGCATAATATTATTGCTCCTTGCATGAAATAAGCAAATTAGTCTCTTAAAATGCAGTTTTTTTTTTTTTTTTTTTTTTTTTTTTTTTTAAATCTAGAATGACAAAATCCATTTTGACAACAGCAAGTTTTATTCAGACTTAAAAATACCAACTAGCCCCCCCCCCACTGATGTGCTTTGGTATTTACATCATTTAGAATCTGTTGCAACGAAAATTCTTTTCTTGAAAACTGGGTAAAGATGAAAACTACTTGATAATATATCCGGACTAATTAGTAGACAGTCCAAGATCTCCCAACATAAATATTTAATGATTTCTAAATTGGGATAGCTATATATTACTCCTTCTGCGATAATACTTGACCAGTGCTATCACAGAGGATAAAGATTTTACTATCAGCATAACCTGATTCTCTCTGATGGTCTGATGGGAGACTATATATATTCTATATATTACTCCTTCTGTGATAATACTTGACCAGTGCTATCACAGACGATAAAGATTTTATTATCAGCATAACCTGGTTCTCTCTGATGGTCTGATAGGAGATTATATATATTCTAAATTGTCACTTCTGCATTCTCTTTTTTGAGAACTAACCAAAATGTAACCGTTTTTTGACTCTGTGCAAGCATAAAGTTGTAGTAAATGCTAAACAAATGGATTTTATTTATCTCTAATGCTTCCCCACATATAACCACATAGATTCAAGAACTCAAGTTTTTAGTGGAATATTTTGGACCATTTTTTTGTATAGTTTTGATCTAGCATTAAAAAATTTTCAGTGTTCTCAGTTTTTGAGAAACACAATAGTGGCTGCAGATTTCTGAATGATAATTATGCTAAAACATTAGAGACTATACAGCAATGTCCAATTTGAAGAAAAGGGTATAAAATCTCATATCATGCTTAATTCAATAAAAGCCAATGATAATAAGAGGTTTTGCCTTCTGTTCTGGACAGATTCATGCCCTTTAAATGTAAGTATTATAATCAGTTTTAATTGTGCTTATTTTTTTACAGACTGCTTACTGGTAAGATACATATGGTTCATGCCAATGATTACTCAAATAAAAATTTTGCTTAGAAGCATTGCAAAGGCACACATTGCATATTTCTCTGATATATCAAAAATTTTTTGGCCTACAGTTTTAACTTTTTAAGATTTCATGATGTATTTTTTGGCATAATCAGAGAAACAATTCTGCAAAATCGTGAAATTATCCGTTTTAGAAAAATCCTGGTATTTCAAATCAAATACCTAAGATAAGAAGGAGTTTGATATAAAATGATCCAGGAATTGGCAAAAGAGTAGAATCAGAAGCAAGTAACTAAGTTTTGATCAACAGTGGTAACAAGTGATTGCATTGGTTTCTCCGAGGGGTGAAGAATCCTTAAAGAAAGATACCCTCAATATGTGAAAGAATCATGTGTTAGATGACTCCTAGGAGAGTAAGTCAGTAAGTCCTATAAGTCATTCTTTACAATTTGTCAGATTAGCCTTGATTACTAAATTTAGGCAAAGTATATGCGAATCACCATCCTAAACTACCCTCCAGTTTTGATCAAAGGGCTCATAGGGAATGGAATTTGAGGATTTCATATTTCTCTTCCTCACCAACCTTTTCAAAGAACTTTCGGCTCAACACGTTGTAGAAGTTTTCCATGCTGCAAAAGTACCATAGCCATAAAAGTTTAAGCTTGACTAGAAATTTGAATTTAGATCTAGTGGTTATAAAAAAAGTTAGCCTGAATTACCCACTATACCACCTGTTTTAGTACTTATTATCTGAAGCAGAATCAAAATTATCCTTCAGTAATATGCATTTTATATCCAGAATTTGATTACTTCCATTGAAAGAATAGCAGGTCTGACTAAACCTTCATGGTACAGATATACAAAATTAATTTTATGACAAATTTTCAAAATAAAGTTATCAATAACAGACAGTTTATATTGCCCTCTTTAATAATAATAATTATAAAAAATGTTTGATATTATTTAAACTAAGCATTTTTATACTGTAGTTAAACATTTTCTAGCTTTCAATGGAACATATATTCTTGATTTTGTTAGAACACATGAAAAAGTACATTCTTTTTATGATAATAATTAAAACTTATTGTCGCATAAAAATAAACACAATCTACAATCAAACCACTTTTTCAAAATCCGCCAACTAAAACAGTTTTATGAAATATACTGCTGATTTTTAACATGCATGTTATGGCATAAAAATGTTTGAAACCATTAGTGCTATTTTTAGTCAATATAAGCAAACATTAAAAAAAAAAAAAAAAAAAAAAAAAAAAAAAAAAAAAAAAAAAAAAAAATGCTTATATTTAGTTTTTAAAATCGCTTATAAAATAATATTTTATGATTTTGTAATTCAAGTTCATAATAAAACATACCCTTAATTTTTTGTACTGTTCTTGTTTTTTAGCGTTTTTTATAGAAGCAGGTTCTTCTTTCTCTTTCTTAGCTTTCTGAAGCCTTTCTTTTGCCCTAGATTAAATTCAAAACAGAATTTACATTTTTTTATATACAACTAAGTTGAACTAGATAATACATCAATTTTCAACAAATCTTTAATATCCAAACCACAGGAATTTGTCAATACTTAAAACAGCAACAAATGTCAATTTGATTGCCCTCAGAAAATTTTCTTTTTATGATTTAAAAATTATAAAAACTCTTTTGTATAATCTATCAAGAAGGAAAAAAAAAAAAAAAAACACTCCTTACAATTTTGGAACTTTCCACAAAAGTACAGCTCTTTTCAGTATGACAAAGCACAATCAGTAGTTACGAATTTAAACTACTAAGAACGAGAAACACAACTTAATGCAAAAAAATGCCACTATTGCTTCCTTAAAATTTTCTCATTTGCTTGTAAAGAAGAAAAGGCTTTTCCAGGATAGGGATTTGTTAAAAGAAGTATGTTTAAGTGGTGCCGATTACTTATTTGAGGGATTTTCTTCTAAAAGGACTTCATGCCAGCAATACAAATCTTGCATTTGTAAGACGACACTGTCACAAGAAGAATACATGCACCATTTCAAAAGACATGTAAACTCAGTTAAAGCGTGACATGGAATTATGTTAGCCTAAAATTTACTTGCTTCAGGTTTCTTTTAAATTTATAATTGAAATAGCATGCAATTTCACCATTTCATGAACACAAAAAAGCTACTGTAAATTTGCCAGTAGAACTGTCCACATCTCTAAAATCAAGGCATGTTTATATAAGTACATACTAAATTAAGAGGAGACCCAATAACTCATTAAATCAATTAAACTTTCTTTGCTTTATTGATACTTTAATACAAATAGCTTTTACATAAAAGACAAATAATACAAACTTTTTAATAAATAAAAATATAAAAATACCTAGGTATTGAATAAGCAGCAATCCATTCTCTTGCCTTTCTTAAGTTTTCGGTACCCTCATGGTACCAAGTTGTTTCAGTCTGCAATAAGGTTATATGAATGCATACTTGAATCAATCAAGAGAAAAATAAACAGAAAAAGAAATAAATAACATATTGATATTAAAAATGTAGCTTAATTTGGAATAATGAAAAGTAATTGTTAGGCTGAAAAAACCTTGGACAACACTGGTGAACAACAACAATTTCTGGTGCTTTGGAAATTAAACTTATGCAGCGGTTACCTCAATATATGTCTGTTTTAAAATATGTTTAACTTGATGTACATTCTTTCTGGATGCAAAAATTTTTATCTGGTATACAATATTTGTTTGGAATATGAGTCGAGTTCGACAAATCACGACTGTGTGCAATACACTTGTTTACCTTTTTTGAGACAATGTTACGACTGTCCACGAGTGTCAGTATGCCTGTTGCTAGCACACTTATGGAGTTTTCAAGCACACAGACATATGCAACTGCAAAATTTCATAAAACTACAAATTCAGAATGTAAAAGGCGCATTTGATTGCTGTGAGTTTTATTTCATTTTTTTAGCACACTATAGAAAATCATCTTTCAGCTAAAAAAAAAAAAAAAAAAAAAGGAATGCATTTATATTCATGTCTTTAAAATTATAAAAATTCGTACATATGAATTAATAAGTTTTGCTCAGTACAACATGGTTACCATTTTATTAATTAATGAAATACTGGAAATATAGTTAACATATCACAAAGTAATCAATTAAATAACAGAATACAGAAAATTGCTCTAATGTTCACCTGTTTTCACCAATATGTTTAGTCTAATGTTTTTAATAATGCAATTTAGGTACTATTTAATTATTTTCCCCCATTATCTAGTTTTCAGCTTATTGGCGGCTTTGTGAATTAACAAAAAGCATTTGTTCGGTTAGTTCTACATATTATAGGTACCATTCCATTCATAAATAATAACAATAATACAAAAATGCATTTTATATGAAATAAGAAATTTTAAGAAAAAATTTATATAACCGATATTTACATCTTTATGAATGGATACGATTCAGGCAGATGACAATTAAATATAAAGTATGCCCAAACATCTGTGTAAAATGTCCATGTGCGGGTTAGCTACTGTCTCGGGAGGTAATATTAAAAAAATAACTGAAAACACAGCAGTTCTATTGACTTTTGAAATCTCGGTAAGGATAATCATAAAGCATCATAATTTATTTTATGCTTATTATGCAAGATATTTAAGTGCATAACACATAATCATTTTTTAAATTTTTACTTCATTCATTTGTTATTTTTCTAGTTCATTAGTAGAGCATGAAATGAAATGATCACAAAATAGTAACTGAATATTTAAGACAAATAATGAAAATGATGATCTTATAAATAAAATTTTCTTCTCATTCGACAAAAAGAATGTCATTAAAAAAATGAACTAGTTCTTAATTCAAAAGGCTTAGACTGTTTCAAATGTACTTTTTTAGCAGTGTCAATCTTCATAATCTTCCCATTTCATTCATAAGCACTTGACACATGTGAAAGGCTTATTACCATGCTGCATGCAGCATTTTTTTTTTTTTTTTTTTTTTTTAAGTATGTTACAGTCAAAAAGTAATTAGGCGATCTATTGTGGTAATGTAATAATATAAGTTATCAATTGCATTTAAACACACGGAACAACTACTTTGTATTGAAACAATTCAAATTTATTATTCAACTTAGCCCATCTGGGTCCATTTGTTACTTGATATTGAACGATGCTCAATTACATCTTTGAAGAAACAAAAAAGTCAAGACTTGTTTATGATTGTAGAAAATATTTAACAAACTCCTTACAATTAAAGGACCATAAATTTGGTAACAGCAGTATTTATCACTATATAATGTATTTAAGCATTTTACAACTAACAGAATGAAGGATCTTCTTCCAACTACCACAAAATTAAAAATTGGCTCACCAGTTTTTCTTTAACTTCTACTTTCTCCTCCTCTTGCTTCTTTTTAACTGCATCTTCTCCTAATCTTGCCAAAAGCTGTCTTAACCTTTCTCTACGATCTGCAGGCCCTTCTCCGAATAAACCTACAAGAGACATTTCAAATAATACATTATTTTTTTTTTTTACAAAATAATAATTATCATTTATACCTAATAAATAAACATTTTTAGGGCTCAGGATAACTTATTTTTTCCTGAAAAAAGACCGAAATAAAAAAAGTTGATGCATTTTATTATAATCTATAAAATTTTACTGATTCTTTAATAACAGAGGGAAAAAATATAAGATGAGTTACAGCTTAAAGTTTTATCTTTATTTATTAAGGTCATACTGTTTTATTCCTATTATTTTTACTGCTTTCAATTACTTATTTATTATTTAAATATTACTTAATTAATATTCAATCTGTAAACTTATTTTTTATCACATGACCCTTTTAATAAGAGATAATGTCAGTGTACAGTACAAATTAGAATAAAAACTGAAATCTAGAATAAAAGGAAGCTAATCAATTCGTAAATTTTAAAATCAAATACACTTGCAGTAATCAATGCAAAATATTTTTTACTCTGCAAAAATAAAAATTTGAACTTAAAACAATATATAAAATCATTTAACTAAGTAATGCATGAAACCATGTTTTGAAGTTAAATAATTTTTTTAACCGTCTGAGTGGCTCAGCTTTTTGGATCTACTAATGAAGAACTGTATTTAAACAGATTATATTAGCTAAATTTGTATAATTACTTATTATTAGTCTCTGTTAACAGAAAATTGCATTCATCATGATGATATTAACATCATTAAATAGTTGGGAAATTTGCCTTCCTCTTTGCACCTGCCCAGTGCTGAAAACGAAACGAAGGATAACTGTTTTTAATCTACAGTAGAAAGTCAGAAGTAGTGTGGCTATTGTTGTGGTTGTAACTGTAGCTCTTAAACTTACTGTCATGAAGTGGTGTTTTAAAGCACTAACGCATGGAATGCTGATGTAGAGGTAGCTGTCGAAGACAAATGGCAGTAGGAGTCTATTAGAGTACGAGATTCCAATCCTACACATTTCCCAATCTGTAGTAAAATACTTAAGTGCCTACCAATGGATATAATGCCAAGTGGATTCAATAGACATGACACAGCAGCATTATCATAATCAAGTTACCATCTGTTTAACTCATCCTATTTTTTCATTATCATAAACTGACATACACATTTTCATTTATCCTGTGAAGTCTAAAGAAAGACTTATTAAAAATCTTATGTTATTCACCCAGTGTTCTCCATGTTGTGCAATTTCTATTGCATAACCATCACACTCAACATCCAACATAAGGAAAGAGAGAAAGAAAAGTAATTGTAATTTAAATCATAAGCTAATACACACCAAGTTGGGGGGGGGAAGAAAGAGATTTAAAAAAACTGAAAGGTTTCAGATTTTGAATTACACCCAAAGGGGCGTTTTTTTAACGTTTTGTGTGTCACCTTTATTTATTAAATATCATGTTCTTTGCACTTAAACCATAAAATTCAGTTCAATAGCAATGTCGCAAAATGATTTTAAAATGAACATATCTTTAGAATTTCCGATACACAGTTCCACGCGCTGGAGATAAAAAGGTCTTTTTTTCCCCATAGAGTGTTGCTATTGCTTGCTTTTAATTCGTTGAGTTTGTTACTAAAAAATTCATTAAAGTTTTAGAAAATATGAAATCAATAATAAAACAAATTCCAAATTTCAAATTTGGTCTTCCATATGCCCATATTCGTAGGAGGATTACGTCATTCAAAATTCGATGGCTCTATGTACCGTTGTTTTTATCATAATGTGAGAAATATACATGCATTTATGCATATTTTTCATTATTTAATTTTTTCAAATATAATGCAGGACTCTTAACATTTTGTGGCAACAGTTTGAAAAGTGAAACGGGCATTTATAGTGATTCAACACTAAATCGCAAAACGAAGACAATAGTCCTTCAGGGAGAAAACCCCCTTTGGACTTAAAAAAAAAAAAAAAAAAAAAAAAAAAAAAGCTCATGATCAGATAAAGGCAGACTCACTCAGGGGGTTATTTTAGCAAGCAAAAAGAATACAGAAAATGCAAAACCTACTCAAAATTTCAACTGAAATGATTTCTGAAAAATCTGCTGGATTTGAAAGGAGTATGATTATAATCGCAGATAACACCATCCATCACACAATTATTATAAACTGACTATGAAAAAAAAAAAGAAATTTCTTTTCTCCTTTATGGATTCACTAATTATTTGTTACTATTACTTTGCTAAATTATGTGAATGGTTTTACTTGCCAAAATATTGAAAATGTTGGAATGATGGATGGGTGAGTGAGTGATTATGGCGCAAAAACCAAAGATGATTATAACGCGCCAAACACAAGATGGGATGATTACAATTGATTCTAGGCTTGACGTTTCTCAACTTGTTGTGATGCTGAACATCCCAAATTTGCTGCCATTTTTTCCAGACCTTTTCCTTGATGACACAGCACATGTCTCTAAAAGGGATAAGGCGACTGGACGGTTCAACAGCAGATTTGTCTGCAAGCTCATTTCCCTTTATTCCAACATGTCCAGGAACCCAGCAGTACAGGACTTCATATCCTCGAATCGTTAAATTTATATGAATTTTGAGAACATCCACTACCACAGGATTCTGAGTGTTGGGAAAAGCTTCCAAGGATTTAAGAGCACTATATGAGTCTGTATAAACTATGAACTTTTTGTGGCAGAGCTTTGAGATGTACAAAAGACCATAATATATTGCAGTTAGTTCAGATGTTAGGACTGAGAAAGCATGGTTCAAGCGTCTGCCCTCCATGTGATCTTCAATTACAAATGCCATTTTGACATGATTTTTTGACTTTGAACCATCTGTATAGACTGGAAGATAACTGCTATATTTGTGCCTGTGCTCAGCGAAGAGTTGTCTGTAAATGATCTCGTTAGTGCTTGTTTCACATGATGCTTGAAAACATTAAGAAGCTGAATCCGTACATTTTTCCAAGATGGGATTTCAAAATTCTGTACTGCTTGGGGGTGCTTATCAGAGAGGGAAAGTTCCTCAATGACAGGGCGAACTCTTAAAGGAAAAGTAGGAACACAGGATGGACGTGTTTTGAATATTGTGTTACACTCATTATCAAGTAAGCACAGCTTATTAGGATGTTCAGGTTGAGATAGAATATTAAAATATTGCAAAAGGGACAATTGCTCATGCCTCAGATAAAGCGATGGTTCGTTAGAGTCAACATATAGGCTCTGGACAGGAGAAGTCCTGAAAGCTCCTGAACAAATCTGCAGAGCTTGATGGTGAACAGGATCCAGTTTTAACAAAACAGATGACCGAGCAGATCCATAAACAACTGAGCCATAGTCCAGTCTAGAGCGGATAAGCGCTCTGTAAATGCGAAGCATGGAGCAACGCTCTGCACCCCAGGAGGTGTTCGCCAACACTTTTAAAATATTTAGTGTTTTTAGACATTTCTTTCTCAGGTTTAAAACATGAGAAAGGAAAGTCAATTTTCGGTCGAACGTCACTTCTAAAAATTTTACTTCAGGCGCAACTGGAATAATTGTACCATTGAGATATAACTCAGGTTCAGGATGGAGACCACACTTCCTACAAAAGTGCCTGTACACAGTTTTCTGTTTTGAAAAAGTAAATCCCTGTTTGTCTGACCATTCTTGGATCTTATTCAGAGCCATTTGCAATTGCCTCTCTATGTATCTTATGTCTGCCCCTCGACAGCTAATCAGTAAATCATCTACATATAGAGATCCCAGGATGGTTGGAGGAAGTTCTTTTAATACAGAGTTTATTTTTAGGCTGAACAGCGTTACACTAAGCACACAGCCTTGAGGCACACCCTCTTCTTGTTCAAAAATATCTGACAAAACAGAGCCAATCCTCACTTGAAAAGTTCTAGTATTCAAGAAATTCTGAATGAAAATTGGTAGGTTGCCGCGCAAGCCACTCTCGTGAAGATCCCGAAGTATACCGTATCTCCATGCCTTATGATAAGCTTTTTCAATGTCGAAGAATATTGAGACGAGGTGACTTTTTCTGACAAAAGCCTTTCGAATGGATGTCTCTAAAAGGAGCATGTTATCTACTGTCATTCTCCCCTTTCGAAAACCGCTTCGATAAGGTGATATAATATTATTTTTTTTCAAGAAGTAGACTAGGCGGTTGTTTACCATCTTTTCAAAGAGTTTGCATATGCAACTGGAAAGGGCAATTGGCCGATAGTTGGAGGGATTCCTTGGATCTTTCCCTGGCTTAGCAATAGGAATTACAACAGCTCTGCTCCATGCACTGGTAAAAGTATGCTCCTTCCACACTCTATTGTAAAGAGTTAGAAGGGCATTCAGTGACTTATAGGACAGATGTTTTAGCATTTCGTAATTCACGCCATCAAGACCCGGAGAAGACCTATGTGTTTGTAACAAAGCTCTCTTTAACTCTAGCACAGTAAAATCTCTATTATAAGGCTCAAAGTTGGAAGAGTTGAAAGCAATGGGATTTTTTCTCAGAGCATTGCTTGATAGAAAGAAATCCAGGCGAGTAATTTCGGCTGGAAGAAACGGCAGCAAATGTCTCACCAATAGTATTCGCAATTTCTTCTATAGAGCTAATCACTCGGCCATCTTTTTCCAAAAAGGAAAGTGAGTGGTCCTTATATATTGCCGCAGCATGCTTTTCTGACTCTCTCCCAAACCCTCCTACTAGGCGTAGAGGATGTTATTGATGACACATACGAAATCCAGGAATCCCTTGGCTCTGCCTTCCTTACTTTTCGTGCATTTGCTTTGGCTCTTTTAAATGCCGTCAGGTTTCGCAGAGTTGGGTATCTACGAAAAATTTCCCATGCTTTTTTCTGTTTTTTCAGTGCTTCATGACAGTCGCGATTCCACCATGGTTTCGAATATTTTAGTAGTTTTCCTGAAGTTCTAGGAATAGAAAGCATAGCTGCCTGAATAATAGTATTAGTAACAGCTTCAACAGCATCATCGATATGCACATCTTCTACCATTTGATCTGTGAGCTCTGCAATGGAAGAG